CCCTACCCACCTAGCTACGAGCACTAACCCTAACCATAACCACCTAGCTACGAGCACTAACCCTAACCATAACCACCTAGCTACGAGCACTAACCCTAACCATAACCGCCTAGCTATGAGCACTAACCATAACCACCTAGCTACGAGCACTAACCATAACCACCTAGCCACGAGCACTAACCCTAACCATAACCACCTAGCTACGAGCACTAACCCTAACCATAACCACCTAGCTACGGGCACTAACCCTAACCATAACCGCCTAGCTATGAGCACTAACCATAACCACCTAGCTACGAGCACTAACCATAACCACCTAGCCACGAGCACTAACCCTAACCATAACCACCTAGCTACGGTCACTAACCATAACCAGCTAGCCACGAGCACTAACCCTAACCATAACCACCTAGCTACGAGCACTAACCCTAACCATAACCACCTAGCCACGAGCACTAACCCTAACCATAACCACCTAGCTACAGGCACTAACGCTAACCATAACCACCTAGCTACAAGCACTAACCCTAACCATAACCACCTAGCTACGAGCACTAACCCTAACCATAACCACCTAGCTACGGGCACTAACCCTAACCATAACCACCTAGCTACGGGCACTAACCCTAACCACCGAGCTACGAGCACTAACCATAACCACCTAGCTACGAGCACTAACCCTAACCATAACCACCTAGCTACGAGCACTAACCCTAACAATAACCATCTAGCTACGAGCACTAACCTTGTCCCGAATCCGAACCAACTATCCAAGACTAGCGCTAACTCGAACCAATTAGCTAACCAGCTCCCAGCATGAATTCTAACCCTAATACATTAGCCCCAACCAGACACTAGCACTTGCACACCTATCCCGTACTAATTAGAAAATCAAACAACTACCACTTATCCTAACCACTTAGCCAACTATAGTACTACCCCTAACTAGCAAACCAGTCACTACCCCTGACTAGCAATCTAGTAACCACCACTAACTCGCAAACCAGTCACTACCACTACATAATATAGGATTTTTTCGGGGGTTAGATGGCGTAAATATGAATGTGTCGTTACACCCGCCACCACCCGACACAGCCAATTAGTAAGGTTTGTCACGTAGACAAAACGTGCCAATTAGTTACTAGTTCAGCACACCGGTGTGTTGGAGAGCAAATCCACAACAATTACAGTCTGAGCAGCTAACCAGTTACTACCCCTAAGTAGCAAACCACTACCCCTAACTAGCAAACCACTACCTCTAACTAGCAAACCACTAACTAGCAAAGCACTAACTAGCAAACCACTACCACTAACTAGCAAACCACTAACTAGCAAATATTAACGAGCAAACCACTACCCCTAACTAGCAAACCACTAACTAGCAAACCACTAACTAGCAAACCACTACCACTAACTAGCAAACCACTAACTAGCAAACCACTAACTAGCAAACACTAACTAGCAAACCACTACCCCTAACTAGAAAACCACTAACTAGCAAACCACTACCACTAACTAGCAAACCACTACCACTAACTAGCAAACCACTAACTAGCAAACCACTAACTAGCAAACCACTACCCCTAACTAGCAAACAACTAACTAGCAAACCACTACCCCTAACTAGCAAACCACTAACTAGCAAACCACTACCACTAACTAGCAAACCACTAACTAGCAAACCACTAACTAGCAAACCACTACCCCTAACTAGCAAACCACTAACTAGCAAACCACTACCACTAACTAGCAAACCACTAACTAGCAAACCACTACCCCTAACTAGCAAACCACTAACTAGCAAACCACTACCCCTAACTTGAAAACCACTAACTAGCAAACCACTACCACTAACTAGCAAACCACTAACTAGCAAACCACTACCACTAACTAGCAAACCACTAACTAGCAAACCACTACCACTAACTAGCCAACCACTAACTAGCAAACCACTAACTAGCAAACCACTACCCCTAACTAGCAAACCACTAACTAGCAAACCACTACCACTAACTAGCACACCACTAACTAGCAAACCACTAACTAGCAAACCACTACCACTAACTAGCCAACCACTAACTAGCCAACCACTAACTAGCCAACCAGTCAAGCAGCACCAACCGCACTGCAGCCGGCCGCACGATAGATCGGCAGCCCCCACCCCACTCGGGATGAGCATTCGAGAGGGGGGGGGCAATCACCACCAATTAGAGCGGCGCGGGCTCACGAGACAGAGCCGCCATCGCTGCCACGTTACTTTGATTGACGTGCTGAGGGGCGGGGCGCAGAGTGCCGGGGACTCAAACGCCGCTCGCCGATTGGCTGGTGCCTGTCGTGACATCACGTCCCCACGTGCACCGCTCAGCGCTGGAGAGCGGTGGGAGTTGTAGTTGGGGAGGTGTGGGGGGTCTGTGGTTAGGGGTGTGGTTAGGGGGTGGGGTGGTTTGGGGGGGGGTGATTGGGGGTGTAGTTAGGGTTGTTTGTGGGTGCATGTGGAGTTGGGGTTGTTTGTGGTTGGGGTGGTCATTGTGGATGTGGTTGGTGTGCTGATTGGGGATGTGGTTGGTGGTGTGGTTGGGGTGGTGATCGGGGGTGTGGTTGGGGTGATGATTGGGGGTGTGGTCGGAGTGGTGGTTGGGGTGATGATTGGGGGTGTGGTTGGGGTGGTGATTGGGGGTGTGGTCGGGGTGGTGATTGGGGTGTGGTTGGGGTGATGATTAGGGGTGTGGTTGGGGTGGTGATTGGGGTGTGGTTGGTGGTGTGGTTGAGGTGGTGATTGTTGATGTGGTTGGGGTGATGATTGGGGGTGTGGTTGAGGTGGTGATTGGGGTGTGGTTGGGGTGATGATTGGGGGTGTGGTTGGTGGTGTGGTTGGGGTGGTGATTGGGGTGTGGTTGGGGTGATGATTGGGGGTGTGGTTGGGGTGGTGATTGTGGATGTGGTTGGGGTGGTGATTGGGGTGTGGTTGGGGTGATGATTGGGGGTGTGGTTGGGGTGGTGATTGGGTGTGGTTGGGGTGATGATTGGGGGTGTGGTTGGGGTGGTGATTGGGGTGTGGTTGGGGGGGGGGGTGATTGTGGCTGGGGTCGTTGAAGGTTGCGGTGGTGATTGGGGGTGTGTATGATCGAGGAAGTGTGGTTGGTAGATACTTGAATTGTGTGATCGGAGCATGTGGTGGTGATTGGGGGTGTGTGTGATCGGGGGTTGGGGTGTGAAGTGGAATTCGTTGACTTGGGGTACAGTACGTAGCACGATACGTGCAGTGGCAGTGTGTCGTTCGGGTATGTGATAAGAGGTACTGTACACAGTATATAGTGGGGGAGCGGTGGTGCAATGGTTAGCGCACTGCGCTACGAACCAAGCGACACGACTTCGATTCCCGCTGATGGCCATCACCAGTGGCGATTATCCGAACCCAGTGACGGATCTCAAATGAGTAAACACGTGGCGCCGTGTGCAAACATCGCCACTTAGAGAGACAAAGGCGGCCGGGCGTGGTGCTGGCCTCGCAGCCCCTCGTGCGCAGCTCCCGCCGTCATAGGCGCTACTCGCTTGCCGAAACAGTCTTGTTAAGAATATACGGGGGATCTTTGTGTGACCCGTGGTGTGTATTTGAGGGGGTGTCGTTTGGGCGGCGGGGGGGGGGCGGCGGGGGGGGGGCGGCGGGGGGGGGGGCGGCGGGGGGGGGGGGCGGCGGGGGGGGGGGCGGCGGGGGGGGGGGGCGGCGGGGGGGGGGGGCGGCGGGGGGGGGGGGCGGCGGGGGGGGGGGCGGCGGGGGGGGGGGCGGCGGGGGGGGGGCGGGGGGGGGCGGCGGGGGGGGGGCGGGGGGGGCGGCGGGGGGGGGCGGCGGGGGGGGGGCGGCGGGGGGGGGGCGGCGGGGGGGGGGCGGCGGGGGGGGGGCGGCGGGGGGGGGGCGGCGGGGGGGGGGCGGCGGAGGACCCCCCCCCCCCCAGCCATCCCCACCCCGTACGCATCCCATTGGCCCGGGACTTGAATCCTCCTCTTGCCCACACCGCCCGGCGCGCGTGCTGCGTGCGAGGAGGAGTCTCGGCGAGCAGCACGCTGCCCGTGCGTGCGCGCGCGTGCTGCGAGTGTGTGTGTGTTTGTGTGTGCTGCGAGTGTGTGTGTGTGTTTGTGTGTGCTGCGAGTGTGTGTGTGTTTGTGTGTGCTGCGAGTGTGTGTGTGTTTGTGTGTGCTGCGAGTGTGTGTGTGTGTGTTTGTGTGTGCTGCGAGTGTGTGTGTTTGTGTGTGCTGCGAGTGTGTGTGTGTTTGTGTGTGCCGACCTTAATAGGTGCTCGCCAACAGCGCTTGCCCCCATCCAATCCTGCTGTAGGCTACACGGGGGGGGTCTTTGTCTTTGGTGTGTGCGTGGTCGGCAAGGAGAGCGGCAGAGGAGCCGATCGAGATCCCGCGGCGCGTTCCCCACACACCCAACCTCCTCCATCATCGTCTCTCCAGTAGACCTCCTCCATCATAATCTCAAGTAGACCTCCTCCTCCATCATCATCTCTCAAGTAGACCTCCATCATCATCATCTCTCAAGTAGACCTCCTCCATCATCATCATCTCTCTCCAGTAGACCTCGTCTCGTCGACTCGTCATCTCGAGCGCCGCGCCGTATCCGAAGGGGCCACGGCGCCCCACCGACTCCTTGTGTGAGCGCGCGCCAGTGACGGGCGGAGGACGACACGGCGAGGAGGACGACACGGAGAGGAGGAGGAGGGTGACTGACAGCGGTGGCTGGTTTCTTCACAGGCACGGACGGTGATGGCTGCTGCCGCCGCCACCACCGTGCGAAGTCGCTGAGGACGCCGCGGACTTTGTTGTTGGTCTCCGTCTGGAGTTTCTGTCTCCTGCTGAACAAAGCGGAGCTGTGTGAGCGGCGCGAGTACGTGGCGGCTGGAGGTGGAGGAGGAGGTGGTGGTGGTGGAGGAGTTGGAGGTGGAGGAAGTGGAGGATGTTCTCGCAGGGTCGACACCCTGTGAGTATCGCACCGGCACGCCGGGGTTTACCTAAGCTGGGGTCCAGATCACCGATTCATTCATTCACTCATTTATTCGCTCACACATTCAGTCATTCACATACTCAGTCGCCTACTAATTCACTCATTTACGTAGCCATGTACTCATTGTGTGCACTTATTCGCTCACACATTCAGTTATGCACGTACTCAGTCACGTACTAATTCACTCATTTACGTAGCCATGTACTCATTGTATGCACTCATTCATTCACTCATTCAGTCATTTACATACTCAGTCACGTACTAATTCACTCATTTACGTAGCCATGTTCTCATTGTATGCACTTATTCATTCACTCATTCAGTCATTCACATACTCAGTCACGTACTAATTCACTCACTCATTTACGTAGCCATGTACTCATTGTATGCACTCATTCATTCAGTCATTCACATACTCAGTCACGTACTAATTCACTCACTCATTTACGTTGCCATGTACTCATTGTATGCACTTATTAACGTAACTACTCGTTCACTCATTCATCCGCGCGAGGGTCGCCGCCACCCTTCCCGTGGAGCCAACCCGGGATGTGCTCCTCGGTCGACAACTCGGCCCAGCATCAAACATTACTCAGCCGTCTACTGTCTGAATGAAGTTCAACGCAATCGCGATTCCCAGATCTGGGTAAAGATCAAGTCGTGCCAGCACACCCAACGCAAACGGAATGCCATTTCACGGACTTTGCGGTTGACACCCGGGCATGTGGCGACCCTACTCCGCTACTCACGAGTCCACCTCCATCCCTTAATGAGCACGGTGGACTCAGCGGCCTTGTAAACGTTGCACCAACGTTGGTGCAACGTTGTTCCAACGGTTCCAAGCCCGTGCCAACGTTGGACCTAACGTCGCCGTGTCCGCCAGTTGTAGAGCTAATCGGAAAGTTACGAATTCAAATCCCGGTTGAGAGGATTGGCTCGGCCCCATCATCACCCCGTGCCCTTATAAATCTCACGTCCATCCTACAAAGTCCCATCATCACAAGGGAGACACACAAACAAATAGACAATTAATGTTTTGTTGCCCGTATTGAAACGGCTGTACGCCGTATAGACCTGAAGAATACGGGGTAAACCGCGTGGGTTCAGAGGTTTGATATTGCAGCGACGTGAACCGCCGTTGTCTCACGGGGAGACTCGCTCCTGCCATAGTGACGTGGATTTCCCACCACTGGCTCAGAGTTGTTAACAGGAGAGCACCAATGTCTCAGTGGCAGTACTCATTTGTGGAGGAAGTCGCCGCTGACTGAATGGCTTAATGAGCACTGCCTGAATTACAACTGCAAATGTGCACGGCGATCAATTTACAGATACCCCACCGATTTCCAACGACCTCAACAGGTGATTGAACGCTGTGAAAGTGGTGGCTCCAATTTCTCACGGAGGACGTTGCGCGCGTGTTGAGGTTGGCAGAGGCTCTGAGATAGCACGCTGTTTTTCTCGACAGTAATTTATCAAAATAGAAAACGTTGTACCCCGTGAGTGCAGAGCCGAGGATGGAATTTATTGAGGAAGAACAATGAACGGGAAGGGGAAGGGAGTAGAGGAATGGGGAACGAGAGGAAAAGGATGTTAAAGGAATTTAAAAACGGGACCAAGGAGCCAGGAGAGACGAGGATCGGAAGGAAGAGGCTGCATCCGCACGTCCGATTAGCACGGTGCGAAAAAAAGTTCAACATCAGGGCCTCGATGCTTCATGGAGCGTCGTCTGTTTTCACAGCGGGCGGCGGGGAGAGGGCAGGGATTGAGACTGGGAGTGGCCACACAAGTTGTCACGTGGTTCACAGGAGGCCTGCAGCTGATGTGGATACTGTGTTACCGTCTGTAAGTGGCTCGCCCTGTACGTACTGTAACATCACTTGTCAAAAAGTGTGAGTGACCGTTTGGGCAGTACTGTCTATGGTGACAAAATATTTGGTCCTGACCCTTTCCGGCATTGAAAGGCTAAAGCCAATCATTTTTCATATGTTTGGGCAGTATTTATTAGCGTTGTTTTGTGTTGGAATACTATGAAGTTGTCTAATGTTTGAGGCAGTTTAATAAAGGTGGTGGGTGTTTTAAAATGTATTCATTATCACATTCCCATCAGCCTCTTGCAAACAAAAGCGTATTCTCAGTGGACACTCAATCGGTCGGTGACCGAAGATCATGACATCCTGCCAGAGCTTTCGCTCAGAAGCGAGGAAGCCACGGCGTTGAGCTTCTGGCCTTCCGTGTTTGTGGTTTTGGAGCTGTTTGGTACCGCGCGTTGCTCTCGACAATGTCTCGAGTTGCGCTCCGCGACCCGGGGAAAGCGAGCGACAAAGCCACCTCGCCTGGTATGCAGGAGGTCGTGGGTTCGATCCTGACCCTGACGCCTGCTGTACATTAGGAGTCTGCATGTTTCTCTCTCTCTCCCCGTGGTTGCGTGGATTTTTCTCCGGATCCTCCGGGTTTTCCCAACACATTTAAAATCAACATCACCACGCGTTTAGAGCCTTTGGCTGCTACTTTACATTTACACGATAAGCCACTTCGTTAACATTTGTGATAGCCAGGTCGCTTCTGAAGAAGAGCTACATAGAGCCTTACCTGGTAAAATAAAAATAGATTCGTTTATTTCAGTTTGTACCGCACTACTGCTAACATCAGCGCAGTTTCGGTGCTCATTAATTTAATGATCGACATGAGCGGATGCTCCGTCATCCGGCGTCTCCGTTGCAAAATCGAAACGTTATTTTCCAGGCTCACGTGAACTTCGATGTGTCGGTGCTCACAGCATCTCGGCCACAGTGGTGGAAATTCCACGTTCATATGCCGGGGGGGGGGGGGGGAGGCGATCGCGTCCGTCGGACAAACCGCTGTTGCCATAGAGGGTAAGGGCTCTCTCTCTGCGGGTTGAAGGACAGCCGCGTGATCAATGGATCGCGCTTGGTTGTGTGAATGGTGGATACGGGCTGGCGATTGGGGGGGGGGGGGGGGAGCCGCGGCGCTGGGCTGGATTTACCAGCGCTGGGGGCCGCGTTCGCCTGCAGTGCCGAATTAGCTCCATCTAATTTACATGCGGAGAGGCGGCTGGGAAATTTCTCGGAAAGGGTGATAGGGTAAGCAACTTGGGTGGCGCTGTGATTGGAACGCAACTCGAAAGGGTTAGAGGTGTAATCGGGGGGAGACGGAGGTATTTGCGATCGGTGGGATACGTGGTGTGGAGGGTGATTGGTGGGACACGTGGTGTGGTGGGTAATTGGTGGGACACGTGGTGTGGAGGGTGATTGGTGGGACACGTGGCGTGGAGGGGGATTGGTGGGACACGTGGTGTGGTGGGTAATTGGTGGGACACGTGGTGTGGATGGTGATTGGTGGGACACGTGGCGTGGAGGGGGATTGGTGGGACACGTGGCGTGGAGGGTTATTGGTGGGACACGTGGTGTGGAGGGTTATTGGTGGGACACGTGGTGTGGAGGGTGATTGGTGCGACACGTGGCGTGGAGGGGGATTGGTGGGACACGTGGTGTGGAGGGTTATTGGTGGGACACGTGGTGTGGTGGGTAATTGGTGGGACACGTGGTGTGGAGGGTGATTGGTGGGACACGTGGCGTGGAGGGGGATTGGTGAGACACGTGGTGTGGATGGTGATTGGTGGGACACGTGGCGTGGTGGGTAATTGGTGGGACACGTGGCATGCATGGTGAAGAAAGAGGGCAGGTTTTGTCGATACGGCAACGGAGTGGCACCCAGAGGTTGGTGACCATGGGAGACGACCTCAGAATCAGAGGTTTTTTTCCCGAGTGAAGCTAGTTGAGCTATATAGCTCTTATTTAAGGGTGAATTGGACAGCAGCAGCAGCAGAGTGTCACCCAAAGCCAGACAGACGGTGGTGATGATGAAACTGCGAAGAGCCGTCCTCCTGAGATCAGAGTGCCAACTTTGCAACATCAACGACAGGCTCTAGCAGCAAGAAGGAAGCAATGGCCAAGCTGTGTGATGGCATCGCCGGCAAGGCTCCGCGACGACCTCTTGACGTCTCGTTCACCGAGGCCGGAGAGCAACGCGGCACGACTCGAAATCCCCTCCGGGAACTCCCAAAGGCTGCTCGCGACTTTTCCATTCGCCAACGTCCGCTGTGAATGCGACCACCTACTTATTTCATGTTTGTTTACCTTCCGCTCTCTCCGGCCTTTTTTTACTGCTGCCTCTTCGTAGACTTCCCCCCCCCCTCCCAACACGACACCCCCCCCATCCACCCCCCCCAAACGGCCCCACGTGCTGAGTGAAGATTGACGGATGTCGTTGAACCCAAACTGAAGAAGACCGATCGTTAGGAAATCGATGTCGGTTTCCTGAAAGAAAGTCGAGACGGCGGGGGCTTGTTTAAGTCTGGCGCGCTCAGCCCTCGCTTCTTTCCGGTTTGATGTTTTCCTCACTCGGGGACTTGAGAAGTGCAAATATCGTCAGATTTCACCCTGGCCCGAGCGTTTAAGAGATTGTGGGGGGAGGGGGGAAGTTACAACGACGCATGCACCCACACACACACGCACTCGTCATGCAAAGACAAAGATCCCCCGGCCAGACCTTTAACAGACTGTTCGCGCAAGTGTCGTTAGCCAGAGCCTATGAAGTCAGGTCAATGTTATTTATTTTGCTTAAATACGTGGTGCTGTTCTGACACAAATCTGCCACAGAAAAGTGCCATTCAGGCCGCCAAGGGAAACGAGGCGGTGCAGCTGGCCAGCACCACACCCAGCCGCCTTTGTTTCCCCAGTGCTGATGTTTACACACCGTCACCAGGTATTCATGTAAGACCGAGTTGACCTATGGGAGGCCCACTGTTATTGGTCGTGAGCGGAAATCGAACTCGAGTCGCCGGGTTCACAATCTACTGCGCTGCCGCTCCCCGCACACGCTTGTACGGGCACACGCGTGCATGCATGCTCATTGAAAATCTTGAAATTCTCATTCAGGAAGGATGGGAAAAAAAACGCAAACTAAGTCCCTTCTTGACACCCGCACAATCGGGGTTTAATTCCCCTTTGTGCGTGTGCCCCGATGCCTGCGGCCGCGCTAAGCGAGAACACAATGGCCGGCTCACCAGGGGTCGTGAACTCACCCCCGAGCTCTCCGCGCTATTGCCCTGGAGGCTCGCACAACAAGAACAATTATTATTATTTGGTACGGCTGGTATTTGCGCCGTTCCTATAGCGCGAGGCTATCGTCACGGTGGCGCTGTTTGTTGTTTCACAGACGGGTGTAGCCATCCGCCAACAGCCTTCACGGTCGGGGAAACGATGATTCGGTACGTAGCTTGACCCAGTGAAGAAACTTGCGAGGTGGTTTTTCAAAAGTGCCGAATGTTGACCTTGACGTTGGCACACGAGGCCCACGCACGCGAGATCTCAAACCTCCACCGTGACGCAGACGGCTCGTGTTGTTTATTTTAAGTTAATGCGCACCGCAGCAATGACCAGAGTGGGCACTGGGTTCAAGCCGCGAACCTCTGCAACAGGTTGCAGACGCGCCACCACTCGGCAATGTCATCCCCGCCCCGGTCCCTCGGCTTCTTCTGTCGCCGTGAAGTGGACTGTCACCGGCCAGTGGCGTAGCGTGGTTAACGTTGAATGATTGAGGTATTTAATAACAGCGTTTGGATGCCATCGTGACAGGCAACCGGTGAAACGAAGACACAAATGTAGACCGGTTTCATCCTCATTCAGACTCATCACTACAGTGCAATGAATGATGGCCACGCGGTGGTCTAAACGACAGAATTGCCGCACGTTCAGTCCTTTTTGAGCTGGTGGTCTGGATAAGGCCGAGGGTTTTTACCATGCGCACTGCTGTACACCCGAGCGCGTCGTTAAATGTAATCTCGTTTGCTAGCCTCGATTGACTTTCACCGACGCGTCCAGGCAAGGTCTGACGCTGAGAGTTATCGTTGACGATCTCCGCAGGTGCCCCCGCAGAGCGCGCCCCCCTTCAAGGCGGCGATCAACGAGGCCTGCGACCGCATCAAAGAGGAGTTCCAGTTCCTGCAGGCGCAGTACCACAGGTGAGAGCCCACACCCAGGTGACCTGCCAGGGGCACCCCCACCAGGTACCGACCCATTGGCCCGATTCGTCTCGCTCGGGCGGTCGACCTGCGCAAGGCCCCTCCCATTGACCGGCCTGGCTTGAGCTGCTCGTACCACCCATGACTTGGTGTGGCCTCACAGCTCCAGGGTTTCGGAAATAAGGGGTGGGGAGAGGAGTGCTCGATGCGCCTAAGCCCCCCACCCCCCTTCACGCTGATGGCTTAGACCCATCTTGTAAGTTCTTACCCGTCAAGTCAGTAAATGTGACTGCAATGTTGAACACCAGTGGCGCTTATTCAACTTGGTTCCAGCGAGGGCGTCAACAGCCGTTGCTGGTATATGCGGGGTGAGCGCTTACTGTACGAGGTCGCGATAGATAAGGAGTTGGGGAATAAAGATTGGCATTTGTGCGGCACTTAAATACCCCCGGCTTCTAAAAGTGGCTATTAAATACAGTCAGCTCTTCTATGACGCGGTAGTTTGCATTCCCGAAGAATACGCGTTATGGAAAAATTGCGTTACATCCAATTCGCGTTATGAAAACAACACGCAGCGTTATAGCAGAACTGACTATCTCCATCATTCAATGCCCCAACTGTATTTTTTCTCTCGATTGATCCTCGGGGACCCCCAAGCATATGGCAGCTGTCCCTGTGTGGCAAAATGTGATGCAGCACTGGCTTCAATAGTGGGCATTGGTCGGTAAACTCGGGATTACAACCGAGTAATTTTCGGGATTTGATCATGTCCACCCTGATGCCGACGGCGTAGTAGTATTTACGGTTAATACGCCCATAGTATTAACCAAGGGTGGCCGTGCGCTTGAACCATGAACCTCCACGCTGCTGTCGCTCGCTCAGCTTGGCGCTCGGGGTCTTGGCGGGTTGGTGTTGACGGCACGGGTAGCGCGCGATGATCCACCGACTCGCCTCCCACACGCGTCTCACCGATTCCCCGCTCGGCTCTGACGGTGCCAAGTTGTCTCGCGGCTGTGCCATGGATTTTCATGTTTTTGTTTACCTGACGATTGTTTACATGATGATTGTTATTCTTAGTTTTTTCGGTAAAGTCACGTTGAAGAGAAACAACAAAATAACAAAATATATATAAAACAATAAAAAATTCTCACGACGTTTCGACCATAACTCAAACGGTCATCATCAGGTGTGTCGGTTTGCATAAATTTATTTTGAAAACGGCATATTTATTTATATATATAAAAATAACGTTTGCGTCACGCGCAACGATGGCAGTTTGCCAGGACTAGTCCATCTATTTTTTTGAAAAGAGGAGGGGGGAGACGAAATTTGTTTTTATGTATGCTGTCTGAAAGGCACTGTAAGCGTGAACAATCAATCAAGAACTGAAATGATTTATCAAATCTTTCCAATGATTGCTAAGATAGAATCCATCTTCTCGGTTGAAATTGTCTCTGTGCTTGTATATGTGGATAGCCTCATGAACGAATCTCTCATGGAAGCCAGATGGCTTACAAAGAACCTCCGTCTTGGAAAAGTCAATGGCATGTGAGCCTACTGAATTAGAACAATGATCTGCTACGGCCGAGGTGTTGGTCCTACCGTGTTTAAGGTCTGCTTTATGTTCACGAATGCGGTCCGAGATATGGCGTTTGGTTTCTCCAATGTAACTACTACCACAGAGGCAACTTAGTTTGTAGACACCAGGGTATTGTATGTCCGGAATCACATCTTTTACAGACGGAACCAGATCACGGATTTTATGTAATGTGTTGAAACGGACCTGGATCTTGTGTTTATTCAAGATTTTGGAGATCTTTTTTGTGATCCCAGCAATGTAGGGTAAAGTGATGGTTTTGAAAGGCTCCTCAAGAGGGTTCTTCTTCATGGTTTGAGTGATAGCTTTGCGGATTGTATAGTCGGAGTAACCATTAGCCCTAAGAGCTTGGTGTACGTGCTTGAGTTCACTGCTTATGTGTTCCTGGTCGGATATGCATTGGGCTCTATGATACAGAGTCTTGATGAGAGAATTCTTCTGTGATGGATGGTGGTGGGAATCCGGTTTCAGATAAGCATCCGTATGGGTAGCTTTCCTGTAGACAGAGTGGCTCATTGAACCATCAGGTCTCTTTTTAATTAGGACATCCAAAAAAAGGTATCTTGCCATCTAAAAAAAAAAAAAAACGCTAAGATGCCAGCTAGCAACCTCAGCAAAGATGAGCGTTTTGAATTATATAAATTAAAAAAGAGGAATGATATTGTAGTTCTCTCAGCTGACAAAGGCAATGCTACTGTTATCATGGATAAAATAGAATACAACAACAAAATTAAAGAATTACTCGACGATGGTAGTTATACAAAAATAAAAAGAGATCCCACCAACAGCCTCGTCACACAAACCAACAAAATAATTTCTGATTCAACCGCATTAATTGATCAATCTAAACAGTTTTCGTTGAAACCTTCTGCTGCCAGGCCACCAAGATTATACGGCTTACCAAAAATACATAAAGTTGATACACCTCTTCGTCCCATAGTCTCTACTATCAGCTCCCCCACCTACAAACTAGCTCGTTTTTTGTCTGAAATCCTGCGTCCTTTCACTGGAAAGACCACCTCTGCGGTACAAAATTCTACTCACCTGGTATCAACAATCAAGGGTATTTCCCTGTCCCCAGACGACCTGCTTGTCAGTTTTGATGTAGTTTCCTTATTCACCAAGGTTCCTGTACCTGACACCATTGCAATCATTGAAGACTTGGTTCATCAAGGACTAAACGCTGAGGTACCCCCCCTGGTGAGACACTGTTTAACCAATACATACTTCACTTGGAATGGAACTTTCTACAAACAAACTGAGGGCACCCCAATGGGCTCCCCCCTTTCTCCAGTTATAGCTAACATTTTCATGGAGAAATTTGAGACTGACGCCATCCAGACTGCCACTCTGCGCCCAACCTTATGGAAGAGGTACGTGGATGACACTTTTGTCATCTGGCCACATGGCCGGCCTGCTCTAGACAAATTCTTCGACCACATCAATTCCATACACCCAGCCATCAGATTTACCATGGAAGTCGAAATAGATGGCAAGATACCTTTTTTGGATGTCCTAATTAAAAAGAGACCTGATGGTTCAATGAGCCACTCTGTCTACAGGAAAGCTACCCATACGGATGCTTATCTGAAACCGGATTCCCACCACCATCCATCACAGAAGAATTCTCTCATCAAGACTCTGTATCATAGAGCCCAATGCATATCCGACCAGGAACACATAAGCAGTGAACTCAAGCACGTACACCAAGCTCGTAGGGCTAATGGTTACTCCGACTATACAATCCGCAAAGCTATCACTCAAACCATGAAGAAGAACCCTCTTGAGGAGCCTTTCAAAACCATCACTTTACCCTACATTGCTGGGATCACAAAAAAGATCTCCAAAATCTTGAATAAACACAAGATCCAGGTCCGTTTCAACACATTACATAAAATCCGTGATCTGGTTCCGTCTGTAAAAGATGTGATTCCGGACATACAATACCCTGGTGTCTACAAACTAAGTTGCCTCTGTGGTAGTAGTTACATTGGAGAAACCAAACGCCATATCTCGGACCGCATTCGTGAACATAAAGCAGACCTTAAACACGGTAGGACCAACACCTCGGCCGTAGCAGATCATTGTTCTAATTCAGTAGGCTCACATGCCATTGACTTTTCCAAGACGGAGGTTCTTTGTAAGCCATCTGGCTTCCATGAGAGATTCGTTCATGAGGCTATCCACATATACAAGCACAGAGACAATTTCAACCGAGAAGATGGATTCTATCTTAGCAATCATTGGAAAGATTTGATAAATCATTTCAGTTCTTGATTGATTGTTCACGCTTACAGTGCCTTTCAGACAGCATACATAAAAACAAATTTCGTCTCCCCCCTCCTCTTTTCAAAAAAATAGATGGACTAGTCCTGGCAAACTGCCATCGTTGCGCGTGACGCAAACGTTATTTTTATATATATAAATAAATATGCCGTTTTCAAAATAAATTTATGCAAACCGACACACCTGATGATGACCGTTTGAGTTATGGTCGAAACGTCGTGAGAATTTTTTATTGTTTTATATATATTTTGTTATTTTGTTGTTTCTCTTCAACGTGACTTTACCGAAAAAACTAAGAATATGAATTATTGCAGTCACGAAAGCTTTAAATCAAAATGATGATTGTTGTTTACCTGACAATTGTTTACTTGACAATCGTTTACTTGACGATTGTTGTTTACCTGACGATTGTTGTTTACTTTACAATTGTTTACCTGACAATTGTTTACTTGACTACTTGACAATTATTGTTTACTTGACAATTGTTATTTACCCGACAATTGTCTACTTGACGATTGTTTACCTGCCGATTGTTGTTTTTCTGACGATTGTTTACCTGACCAATTATTATAATGTGGTTTTCCCCTTTTTTTCTGGCAACAAAACTGAAACCTTTTTACGAGGAATCATGTCTGCATTAACCACAATACTTGTGGTCAAAATGCAAACAAAAACATACTCTGATAATATATGCATTGTCCTTGAAACTGATTGGTCCACACCAGAGACGGCTTTCTTTTGAGCCTCGTCTCAATTGGTGCTAGACCAGAGGACGCCAACAGGCGTAGAGCACAAAGACAATGCCACTATCAGAGTAATGCGAGCTTGGGGTTACCCCTCTCTGCTTGTGTGTGTGTCTGTCTATGTGTCTCCGTGTATGTGTTTTGTCTCTCAAATTTAGCTTTGGAAGAACGCAATCAACCAGGTAGGGTGTTGACTGTTATGTTAGCCGACTCTCTGTGTTGTATTGCATTATATTTCTAAGTTTACTATGTTGTCTACCTGATGACGATTGCTTGTGTTGCAATCGAAATGTCGTATTCTGTTATTTAATTTATTTTATGTCTACGTGACTTTACCGAAAGAACCAAAGAGTAACTATCCAAGGGTTAAATTTTGATTTAAAGCTTTCGTGACTGCAGTAATTCATATTCTTAGTTTTTTCGGTAAAGTCACGTTGAAGAGAAACAACAAAATAACAAAATATATATAAAACAATAAAAAATTCTCATGACGTTTCGACCATAACTCAAACGGTCATCATCAGATGATGACCGTTATCATCATCAGATGATGACCGTTTGAGTTATGGTCGAAACGTCGTGAGAATTTTTTATTGTTTTATATATATTTTGTTATTTTGTTGTTTCTCTTCAACGTGACTTTACCGAAAAAACTAAGAATATATCCAAGGGTTGTCTAATTATTATTATTATTTAATTTCGCGTGGGGATATTCACTAAGTGGTGGATATTAGCCCCCTATTGGTACACAATTTCGTTTTCTCGAAAAGCCTATTGCATCACAGTTAAACGTTTCTGTGCCTCAGTTATTTGTTTTTTCCTCTGGGATGTGTTGGATTTCCTTCTCAGCTTCTTGGGGTTGACTTCATTTTATTGGGTTTCCTTCCCAGTTTCTTGGGATTTCCCTATAAGTTATTTGGGTTTCCCTCAATATTTTGGGTTTCCCTCTCGGTTGATTTGGGTTCCTTCGGGTTCTTATGTTTCCTTCCCAGTTTCTAGAGGTTCCCTCTCGGTTTGTTGGTTTTCCTTTCTGGTTTGTTGGATTTCTACCTCAGTTTATTGGGATTTTTCCCAAGGGTTTCCGTCGGAGTCTCACTGTTTTTGAACCCTGACTGGTTGTTGATGCGTACGATATCCGAGCGGGAGTTGCCCGAGACATATATTCTCAGCCGGGGAGATGGCATTAGCGCGGCCTCGCCAGAATTCGCATGCACAGAATAATCCCAAATTCAAATATGTCACGCGCTAATAATTAATATTTATCGGCATTATTAAAAGGTAAATTGCGGCTGTGTTTGCAATTGTTTTGTTCGTGCCTTACTTAAGAAAGTCTCATTATTCGTCATGTTACAGCGAACATTTTAATGGCAGTTGGGGTTAATTTTCTAAAATAACAATGGGCAGACACCTACTACTTTCCTGGCAGTGTGAGTTATAACAATCTCGAGAACATTTCCACTACTACAAGTGTCAGAGCAAATAGCGGAGACGGAGGGCTGGATCGTTGGCTTCCTAGTGCGTGGGCAATCGCGGCATACATTTTTTTTATTTTACCAGGTAAGGCCCCCACTGAGCATTTGAGCTCTTTTTTCAGAAGCAAACCTGGCCACAAATGATAGCTCAACGAAGTGCCTTATCACGTGGAAATGTATCACGGCCAAATGCCCTAACCGCTTATTAATTCTAAATGTGGAGAGGAAACGCAAAGAAAAGTCCACGCTATCACAGGGAGAACCTGAAAACTCTAAATATACAGCAGGCGTCAGGGTTGGGATTGAACTCGTGACCTCCTGTATACAAGGCGAGGTAGTTAACATCTCCGAGCCGCCGTGGTGCCTCCACATACGACGTTACCCAGGGGGTGCATCGTACATGGACGTCTAATCATTGATCCACTGCTGGATGAGGACCTTGCCACACCTTGCGGTCATGGGGTTTGTTTAGCCATACCTCACCCACGCCTTGTCAGTGCGGGTTGGTGAAGGGGTGTAGGGTGTCCTGGACCGGTTCAGAAGTCACACGCCGCTGGCAGAGATGAAGTGAAAAGTTTTTTCATTTGTGAATGCTGAATTACATTTGTTGTTAGCCTTGTAAAAATAAATTTTATTTTTCTTTTACTTTGTTTTCCTTTTGAAAATATTACTGGGGGCCTCACAGTACCTGTAGCCCAGGGGACTACAAAATCTTAATCCTGCCCTGGCCGCTGGTGTTCGCCGAGGCCAGCATTCGAACTCGGACCGCTGGGGTTCGTGGTGTAAGGCGCTGACCACTGCGCCACCGTGCTGGCCCAGGGGAGGCGCGGTACGTGGGTGAACTTTTCGGTGAGCACAGTGTCCGTGTGAGGCGGCCTCACTAGCCGTGTCAGCATGGCACCGACCATATCACCATGTGTTATTTATTTTTTAATACATTAAAGAGTACGAGATGAGCGAGTGGCTCCAATTCATAAAATGCTGAGCCGGCACCGCTGAGACAATGGGTTCGAGTCCAGGTCTAAGCCTGTGATTACACCGGATTTTGTGGAGTGAGTTGATGGCCCTCAACCCCAAAAGAAAACCATCATCCTAAATTAGTTTTTTCAATTTCTTGGACAAAATTACAAGTTCTGAAAAAATATATAGGTTTGACTGCCATTCAAGAGGTGAGGAATGTCGATAAGAGGTCACCTGATGGGTTCTCAGAAGTAGTTCTGTGATATCTACTTTTTTCGGCCATTCTCAAGTGTTCAGTATGGACGCTTTTCTTCATGTAATTGCACCACGAGCAGCATAGTTTCCGATAATACCAGGGAAAATACACAAACCCGGGGGTTGTGGTGGGAGTGGGAGCACAAAATAAACAAAGCATAAAGTACAAAGCTTCGCGTGCACTGCTGCAGGTGACGGTCGGAGGTGAAACACCGTCCTGTGCGCCTTGTGCGGCCCTGTGCCACCCTGTTCCACCCTGTGGGGTCGGTCATGCTCAGGCGCTGCCGCGGCTCCACCCGTTTAAGATTCTCGGCACAGCCACGTGCCAGAGACGCATGGGCAGGACGGCACGTAATCACTTAATTTTAATTAAAGGCGCGGCGGGCGCGGTGACGCTCGCATGGCGGAGGGTGCTAATCGATGCTGGTGGCCTCGGTGATTGTATGTGTGGGGGGGGTTCCTCTCTGTCTTGCACCCCCCTCCACCCCCCCTCCCGACCCACCCCCACCCCTGCCGTCCGCCTCCTTCCTGCAGTCTCAAGCTCGAATGCGAGAAGCTCAGCAATGAGAAGACGGAGATTCAGAGGCACTACGTGATGGTGAGAGCGTCGATCCACACGACCCCGCGTGGCGTCTACCCAACGGTGAACCCTTACGTGAGGCTCGTCATCGCCGCCGCCACGCCTAACGCGCTGCTCTGCGGATGGCGACCGATTACAAACGCGTTGGGCCATGCGTGGGCGTTCGGGGTTGCGGCGGGGGGGGGGACCCTACGGACCGCGGGCCACATCTGGCCTGTGACTTCGTCTCACGTGGCCCACAAATTTATTTCACGTGGGCCCCAAAATTTATTTTCAAATGGACTGCAAATTCATTTCATATGGACTACAAATCCTTTAACGCAGACCGCAAATGAATTTCACGCGGATCGCGAATTTCTTTCACGTGGCCCGCAGCCACGTGAGGCCATCCAATTTGAAACGGCCCGTGAATTATATTTATCCATCACCACAAGCATCTTCGCCGCACTAATCGGGGCACTGGTGGGGAATATTTGTGGACATGTTGACAGCGCTGCATTTGTAATTTTAGAGCTGCGCTCAGTCAGCTCTCATGTTGTGGTGCACTCACGGTGAATGCATGCGAATCCTCACCTGGTTTAAACTTTTGTGTCAACTAATATGCGTATGTGTGTTGAACTTCTTTCGCACCTTACGTAGCCAACCATGCTAATCGGAGGTGCGGGGGGGGGGGAGAACAACAAACTAAAATCAGTTCTAAAGAAATTAGTTTTCAATCTAGATGATTTAAAAGTGCATAGCTCCCAGTTACTTCATAATATCTGAAGGAAGAGTGTTCCAGACGTGATGCAATGACCGACTTTGTGTGGCTCACCATTGGTTTTAAAATATCATATTCGGCCGCCTCAGTAAAGTGAAGGTTCACAACCCCTGGTTTAATAGGACACTGTTGTCACAGCGGAGTAAACGAACCCTTGGGTTGAAATGCGATTAAAGTAAAATATATATCAAGAAGTAGTAGTAGTGCTCAATACTTTACCAGGAGATGAAATGACAGGCCCATTCTCTGCAACGTCGATGTTTTGTCTTTGTTGTTGTTGTTGCTGCTGCTGCACCACGGATCTCCCACGAATCACAGCCGGGCAACCGGTTAAATGGGATCGTCACCCGCGTAACAAGTCAACATCAACTTAAACACTCAGGCCCATGACACGCCGCCCCCTTTTTTCAAGGGCGACGTGAGGTTTGTGAGCTGCTCTCTGCTTTATTTCCATCTCCACCAAACCCCCCCACACCCGACATAACAAAAAAAGACTGCGTGGCAGCGCCTCTATTGGTATCAAATCGATCGTTGTTGTTTGTACCCCAGGAAGGCTGGCCGTGCGTATCTTGAACAGCGTCGCCGTTATCCCGTAAATTTTACTCGGATTTGCAACGGGTCGCGGTCGGTTCTCGCCGTTTGCCTTTTGAAGTGTTTGTCGAGGGTTGACCCGAGGGGCACTTTGAAGGCGTCTGCGAGTGTTTGCTGGGGCGGGTTGACTCGAGATGACGCTCCGTTAAGCGTGTGTGCTCAGGCGGCTCCGTTCGCCTTCAAACACGCCGGCGCCGCTGCCACCGCCGCCGCGGTCTCCATGCCGTCGACGTCAACCCCCCCCAAATTGTTGCGCTTCCGGCTCCCGCCGTCACAGTAGGGTCGCATGAAGAAGCGATTCTAAACCCCGCCGCCACCGCCACGCACGCGTTCGACATCCAGCCGCGATCGGCGTCGCATTCTGCCAGGATGCAGAGAGATTGGGCGCCGCAATGGCGAGATGTTGACTACCTCGCCTGGTATGCAGGAGGTCGTGGGTCTCTTTACCCAGTGAGATGTTGACTACCTCGCCTGGTATGCAGGAGGTCGTGGGTCTCTTTACCCAGTGAGATGTTGACTACCTCGCCTGGTATGCAGGAGGTCGTGGGTCTCTTTACCCAATGAGATGTTGACTACCTCGCCTGGTATGCAGGAGGTCGTGGGTCTCTTTACCCAGTGAGATGTTGACTACCTCGCCTGGTATGCAGGAGGTCGTGGGTCTCTTTACCCAGTGAGATGTTGACTACCTCGCCAGATATGCAGGAGGTCGTGGGTCTCTTTACCCAATGAGATGTTGACTACCTCGCCTGGTATGCAGGAGGTCGTGGGTCTCTTTACCCAGTGAGATGTTGACTACCTCGCCAGATATGCAGGAGGTCGTGGGTATCTTTACCCAATGAGATGTTGACTACATTCGCCTGGTATGCAGGAGGTCGTGGGTCTCTTTACCCAGTGAGATGTTGACTACCTCGCCTGGTATGCAGGAGGTCGTGGGTCTCTTTACCCAATGAGATGTTGACTACCTCGCCTGGTATGCAGGAGGTCGTGGGTCTCTTTACCCAGTGAGATGTTGACTACCTCGCCAGATATGCAGGAGGTCGTGGGTCTCTTTACCCAATGAGTTGTTGACTACATTCGCCTGGTATGCAGGAGGTTGTGGGTCTCTTTACCCAGTGAGATGTTGACTACCTCGCCTGGTATGCAGGAGGTCGTGGGTCTCTTTACCCAGTGAGATGTTGACTACCTCGCCTAGTGTGCAGGAGGTCGTGGGTCTCTTTACCCAGTGAGATGTTGACTACATTCGCCTGGTATGCAGGAGGTCGTGGGTCTCTTTACCCAGTGAGATGTTGACTACCTCGCCTAGTGTGCAGGAGGTCGTGGGTCTCTTTACCCAGTGAGATGTTGACTACCTCGCCTGGTATGCAGGAGGTCGTGGGTCTCTTTACCCAGTGAGATGTTGACTACATTCGCCTGGTATGCAGGAGATCGTGGGTCTCTTTATCCAGTGAGATGTTGACTACCTCGCCTAGTATGCAGGAGGTCGTGGGTCTCTTTACCCAGTGAGATGTTGACTACATTCGCCTAGTGTGCAGGAGGTCGTGTGTTCGATCCTGACCCTGACGCCTGCTGCTGTATATTTGGAGTTTGCGTGTCTCTCTCCTCGTGGTCGCGTGGATTTTTCTCCGGGTCTTCCGGTTTATCCCTCCACATTTAGAATCAACGTCACGCGTTTAGAGTATTTGGCTGCTATACATTTCCACGCGATAAGCCACTTCGTCGAGCTATCATTTGTGATAGCCAGGTTTGCTTGCTTCTGAAAAGGAGCTATTCAGCTCAGTGGGCCTTACCTGGTAAAATAAAAAACATTGTTTGGTTTATAGTTTAGATTGGCGGCGCTCGGAGAGTCGGTTTAACGTGAGTTCAAGAGACCGCAGAGCCACGTGCTGAGCGGGCGCCATCGCCCAGCCCTGCACATTCTCGTTTTATTTTTTTACTTTCCCCCCCCCGACCCCCCCCCCCCCCTCAAATGAAATCCCGATTGAACCGTCGCCATCACGTGACGAGACATAAGCATCCTTTCGGATTTCTCGATGAGCGGTAGCAACCCTTTGTGTTGGAGAACAGCTCGCATGTATTTCCCGAAGCTGGCGTGCAACTTGGAGGAGCCTAGTTCAGGAAATGTAAACACTTGGCTGCAGGGCTCTTGTCGTGTGTTCATGTGAGCTTACAGCAGCGTAGGACACACAAAGCCACGGCCACAATAGTTGGTTCTGGTGCTTATATAGTTCTTATGTTATTTTATTACTGGAAGCAAGCCAAAGGCGTCGTAATTCTGAAACGCAGAAAGCCGCAAGACTTGCACTCCAGCTACAGGGTCACAAGATCCCTCTTGCCCTTTACCTCCAAGCTGCTGCAACTGCCTCCCGAACAAGCCAGATTTCCAATTGGCCATAGCTGCTGCGAACAGATGGCTGCCTTCGCCACCCTCAGAAACTGGTTTCCTGCGTCACAAACAGAAGGTTGGCAACAGCAGCGATTGCCCTCTGCTGCCTTCGACTCCGTTTGATCGTCGTGGCCTACTGCTGAAGTTGTCAAAAAATCACCAGGTGCCGTTTCTACCGTACGCCTAATCGGCACGATGCGCATCAACCCATTATGTTCAGTCGCAGGCCAAGTCCTCGCGTGTTCACACAACGCGACACTTTTCAGGAACGCAAAGAGGACTGACTGTACACCTCACGGTCCCCCTGCTGGCATCGTGCTGCTGTCACCATCCTAGAATCTCAACCCAGATCTGGAAGAAGGCTGGCGAACAATGCGGAGGTCCAGAATAAACACCTACTCATTCGATATCCAAACATCGCACTTCCGGGCTTTGACATTTCTGCTCGAAGACTCCAGTGATGGAACCATCAACCGCATCAGAACACCAACAGGTCGCTGCCCACATCCGCTTCATAAATAAAATGCTAAAATAAAGACCAGCCACAGTGGTTACTTTAACCGTACAACCCAAACTGTGGACCGTACAGTAAATCACTGTAGTCTACACTCCTTAAACGGAGGAGGAATGGCAAAACTGCACGAACTCTCCCTAAGCTCTCTCGTGGCCAGCATACCTTGACATTGGCATTCAGCTCCTGACCATTTGTAGCTTTTGACACTAATCAAGGATAGCTTAGCCCTGACCCTGTGGGTCGTCACCCGCCGTTAGAATAGACCTTGAGCCGGAGATGTATCAGCGGAGTGGCAGCCGCAGCGCCACTCCGCTGCTGCTACCCCTTATGAACCATTCCCTTTTATTCACAAAGGCAAAATAAACAAATAATTAAATAAACAATTTTTTTTTATATATATATACACTCTGGTGTCGGTTGTGCAGTATACGTCTCAAAATGCTGAGCAATTGCAATTCGCATTTTGATGAAAAAAAGGTATTGACAGCTCCAGAGTGAAACAACAAGATGAGCGAGGTGTAGGGTACGGGCGGTAAATGCGACACGGCACGATTTGACCAAACCGTTCACCACCACGTGAAATAAAATTACGTGATTTATTTCATGAGGCCTTGGCAATGGCAACCCCTCAGAATGAACCGCCACGATGAAAATGCGCTCAAATGATGATTATTATTATTTAGTTTTTTTTATCTTCAAAAAGTTAAGTGCGGTGGCATTGTGATGGTACTGATGGGCCGCCCGGGTTACAGCCGGTGGGCGAAACCAGCTTCGCGCCAACTCCTCCCAGCCGGTTAAATAGCGAGACGCTCAATCGCCGATTTGCTTCAATGTCCTCTGTGGGGGTGTGTGCTCTCTGCGCTCCCTTTGACTTGCGTCCGGTTTTTTTCGGCACTGATTTCTGCTGCCAAAGCAGGAAGGGAGAGTGAGGCCCGTGTCGGGAGACGAGCGAGCAAGCGATCGTCGCAAACAGGACATGGGTCTGGGGTGAGCCCAGGGGGCCCAGGCCGTGGCGGCCACCTGGCCGCCACCCCCCCTTGTGTGCCGAACGCGCGCGTGTGTGCGAGTGTGCGAGTGTGCGAGTGTGTGTGAGGAGGGTTCGTGCGTTGCGCTATGAACCCAGTGACCCGGGTTCCCGCTCATGGCCAACGCCGGTGACGGTTATCTGGACTGGTCCTGGGCCTCCCCTAGGTCCACTCGGCCTCAATTGAGTACCTGGTGCGGTGTATAGTAAACCTCGCCACTGGGGAGACAAACACAGCCGGGAGTGGTGCTGGCCACCCACCCCCTCGTGTGCAGTGCCGGCCTTCATAGGTGCTACTCGCTAACAGCACTTGCTCCTACAGTCTGTTAAGGCTACACTGGGTATCTTTGTCTTTGTGTGTGTGTTTTTTTTCGGTAGTACTACGAGATGTCCTACGGCCTCAACATCGAAATGCACAAGCAGGTGAGTGGGGCTGGGGACTGTGGGGGTGGCTGTGGGGATGGGTGGCGGTGTCTCCCAGCTAAGAGGGGTTAGTGGGTCCCCTCAGGTTTGTTTCGGGCAGTAGGGTTTATCCTCGGTTTTCATTAACATTTCGGGCACAGGAAGACACGCGATTGGTCAAATATAGTTTCCGCGATCGTCTTGTGTGGGTTATACAAAAAAAAGGCATTTATAGGGTTAGGTGGCAAGGCACTAGTATAGCGACGAGTGGTCAAGTGGGGCGGTGGAGTGATATTTCAGAGTGATCTCTCACTCTTAAGTGCTACGCCCCTCGCTGGCGCTCGCAGACTCAGTCCTTGGCTCCACACTGGCGCACATTACGGACCCCGGTGTGCGGAGGTTTAGGGTTATTTTTTTTTCTCCCGTCGCACCGCATCCTCGTTGGGACGCGCGGCGCGTCCCCGACGTTTCGGTCCGGAGCACTGCTGCCGACAATTTCTCCGTGAACCGATTAGATCCGAGCCAATTTTTTTTTAAACCCTATTCATCGCCTGCAAGACGCCTCCAGAGCACGGAGCGGAATTTGGCGAGCCGTCGTCGCTTCGCAACGCGCGCGGTGATGACCCCGACGGCACGGCAGCGGTGGTGGCGAGCCATCCCCGAGGGACGTCTTCACGAGTGGAGAGCGGGCGGGGGGCTTTGCTTGCCACGGCACGGGTCACGCCAACCTCATTACTTCCCTGAGTCACGGCATCATCATCATCATCCTCCTTCTGCTGGTTAAACAAACGAACCCCCCCCCCCCCGCCGGCCTTCCCCCGGCAGCCGTGTGTCGCCTCGCGTGAGTGGGGATTGGCACTCACTCCAGGCTCGCCTCCTCCGTCTCTTTCAGATGGAGATCGTGAAAAGGCTCAACGCGATATGTGCGCAGATAATGCCGTTCCTCGCTCCAGAAGTAAGTGCTTTCCCTCTCTGACGGGCGGGAAGCGGGCTGTCGGGCCCCTGGTTTTGGCAGCGGCGCAAGCGACGGGATGGGGGGGGTTGCTCAGCCTGTGTGTGCGCTTGTGTGTGTGTGTGCCGGGAAAGGTCCTGGCAAGGATTATTCAGCATCGCCTTGCCAGGCACGCTGAGGAGAGGCTTGCGGAGCCCCAATGCGGTTTCAGGAAAGGGCGGTCCTGCACAGATGCCATATTTTCTGTCCGTCTGCTACAGCAGAGGTGTAGGGAATTCCAACAAGACCTACATCTCTGCTTTATTGACCTGGTCAAGGCCTATGATACCATCAGTAGGCCTGGGCTCTGGGTCGTTCTTCGTGCTTTTGGAGTACCTGACCCTCTGCTCACGATCATTAAGGACCTTCATGATGGTGAGCGGGCCCGGGTAAAACTACGTGGCCGGGAGTCAGAGCCATTCCCTGTACACCTTGGGGTGCGACAGGGATGTCCTCTGGCTCCCACATTATTTAACATCTATTTTGACCACGTAGTTCGTGAAGCCTTCAATAGCTGTACCGGGGGAATCTCCATATGGTACAGATATAATGGGAGGCTAATCGATGCCCGGGTGCGGTCAAGGGATGGCTCCCTATTGCTCAACCACGTTATGTATGCTGATGACTTGGTAATAGCTGCTCAGTCAGAGGAGGAGTTGGAGACGCTGCTGCTGAGACTGGAGCGTGCCACTAAGAGGTGGGGCCTTACCATCAGCCCCACCAAAACTAAGCACCTGCCTGGGTATTTTGTACCATCGGACACTCCACCCCCACAACTCCCAATCGGTGATGGGGCAGTTGTGGAGAGAGTGGAGAGTTTCCCATACCTGGGCAGTGTGCTTATGACTGGCTCCAGTTTAACAGCAGAGGTCTCACTCCGAATCAGTCGAGCGGCAATATCTTTTCATCGGTTGCGTAACGCTGTGTGGAAGCTACCTGGTCTGTCGCTCCGCACTAAGCTTCAGGTCTTCTCGGCCACGGTCATTCCCTCCCTTCTCTACGCTTGCGAAACGTGGACCCCCCTAATGGAACATCTTCGCCGGTTAGAAACAATTAGGCTGACCTGCCTACGATCCATCCTGGGTTTAACCAGACTGGATTGTGTGAGGAGCTCACAAATCCTTGAAAGATCTGGGCAGGGTCCCATCGGTGAGCTCCTCCGGCAGGCAAGGCTGCGATGGCTGGGTCATGTAGCCCGCATGCCCAGCCACCGCATGCCGAAACAGCTTTTGTTTGGCCGGATTGAGGGGGCTAAGCGGGCGCGGCACGGGCTAGAGAAGAGATGGAGTGATGTGGTACGGGAGGACGTGGAGCTGAGTGGACTTGCCGATGACTGGTACCAGCGGTGTCAAGATCGGCCTCTGTGGAGGAGGCTCGTGAAGGATGCTACTGGGCAGTTGGAGGCAGTCGCCCTCCAACAACAACGGAGGGCGGAGGAGCGACGCTCACAACAGCGAGCGGAGCGCCGGGTGGCTAAAGCACAGCAGGTTGGCACAGTAGGGGGCACAGGTGGTGCATCAGCCAGTAATCTCAGTCAGTCGACCCGTGGCACCTGGGTCTGCCCCGTGACCTCCTGCCAGCGGGCGTTCGACACTTCACGTGGCCTCAGGGTGCACATAGCCTGGCACAAGCGTCGTGGTGACGTCACCGCCACTTAGTGGCGAATGGCGGTTGTTGTTGTTGTTGTGTGCGCTCGTGCGTGCGTGTTCGTCCGTGTGAGCGTGCGTGTGGGTGCACGTGCGTGTGTGTGCACACAAGCAAGCACGCGTGCGTGTGCCAGTGTGCTTATGACCAGCTCCAGTTTGAGAGCAGAAGTCTCACTCCGAATCAGTCGAGCGGCATTATCTTTTCATCGGATGCACAAAGCTGTGTGGAAGCTACTTGGTCTGTCGCTCAACACGAAGCTTCGGGTCTTCTCGGCCACAGTCATGCCCTTCCTTCTCTATGCTTGTGAAACGTGGACCCCCCTAATGGAACATCTTCGCCAGTGAGAAAATTCAGGCTGGCCTGCCTACAACCCATCCTGGGTTTAACCATGCTGGATTGTGTGAGGAGCTCACAAATCTTTGAAAGATCTGGACCCGTTCCCATCAGTGGAGTGATGTGGTATAAGTGGTGGTGAAGCTGAGTGGACTTGCCAATGACTGGTACCAGCGGTGTCAAGATCGGCCTCTGTAGAGGAGGCTCGTGAAGGATGCTGCTACTGGGCAGTTGGAGGCAGTCGCCCTCCAGCAACAGCGGAGGGCAGAGGAGCAACGCTCAAAACAACAAGCGGAGTGCCGGGCGGCTAAAACACAGCAGGTTGGCACAGTAGGGGGCACAGGTGATGCATCAGCCACTCATCTCAGTCAGTCGACCCATGGCACCTGGGTCTGCCCCGTGACCTCTTGCTGCTGGGCGTTCGACACTTCAAGTGGCACATAGCCTGGAACAAGCGCCGCGGTGACGTCACCGCCACTTAGTGGCGAATGGCGGTTGTTGTTGTGCCGGGACCGAGCCAGTGCCAAGTTCTCGTGAGGACCTGTGGAGAGAGGCCCTACCCCCAAGTACCCTCATGGGTCACAAACACCCTCAGCTCTTTGTCACCCATTAAACACCTCAGACAGGCGAGAGCCTCTGTCTGCTGCTAGAAGGTGGAGAGAAGGCGCAGGGAGTTGGTGCACCGCACCAGAAAGTGTGTGGGGGTTGCCTCCACGATGCGTGTGTAGTGAGGAGCGGCGGCAGGGTGGTTAGTGCATTGCGCTACAAACCCGGCGACCCGCGTTCGATTCGCGGTCACGGCCAACATCGCAAAACAAATATTTGAACCAGTCGCAGGCCTCCCCTAGGTCGACTCGGCCTTAAACATGTGTAAACAACAGCGCTAGGGAGACAAAGATGGCCGGGCACGATACTGACCACACAACCCCCTTGTTGCGCCATTTTTGGCTTCATCAATGCTCGTTAACAGCACTTGACCCAAAAGCCATTGTTGTCTAATTCGGGGATTTTTTGTCTTTTTATGTTCATTAGTTGATACGTAATTATAATAGCCTTTTACTTGGCCAGCCGACTATTGTGGCAAAGTTTACACGGCAAACAGCACGAACCACACACAGAGCATTCAGCACCTGCCATGGCGTGAACTGCTGTTTACAAAGAGACCATAGACGTACGAGAACCACAGACCATAATGGGGATATGATGATTCTGTGTCTGTGTGCATTTACGTGCATCCACACGTGTGCACGTGCACAGCTAAACACCAGTGACGATTATCTTAACCGGTCCTAGGCCTCTCCTAGATCTACTCAGCCTCAAATGAGTAACTGGTGCAGGATGTAAACATCTCTGAGGAGACAAAGGCGGCCGGGCCTACTTGCTAACAGCATTTGTCCCAACGGTCTGTTAAGGCTACACTGGGGGATCTTTGTACTGATGTGTGCGCGTGTGCGTTGTTCAGCACCAGCAGCAGGTGCTGCAGGCGGTGGACAGGGCCAAGCAAGTGACCATGGCGGAGCTGAACACCGCCATCGGAGTACGTTCCCAGCTCCACACACGCCCCCTTAGCTCCCACCACCACCATCGCCACCACTGCCTTCAACCCCAGCACACAAAAAGCACCATTGTCCCTAGCATCACCACCACCACCGTCACCACATAATGTCAACCTCATCACAACCAATACCATCATCCCCGCCACCGCCACCATCGCCACCACTGCCTTCAACCCCATCACAACTTCTGCAATTGCCCCTACAACCAACACCCAACACCACCACCACCAAGCCGGTTGCAACATCCGCCACTGCCTCCCAGTCACCTGCACTCGCATTGTCCCTGCCACCATCAATATCAGCGCCCTTACCGCCATCGCCACCACTGCTGCTGACCGTGCCGCCGTAACCACCAACACCACCGCCACCGCACAGTTCCTGCCACCACCATCTCCACCACCATCGTTCACCCAGCACCTTTCACCGCAGCGGTAGTAATTGGTCGTAACGATGTCGTTTATTTGCCCAGGAAAGCCTCCACTGAGTCTCAAGGCTCTTTCTCAAGAGGCTCCTCCCCCACCCCGCCCTCCCCGCAGCACCAGCAGCTGCAGGCGCAGCACCTGGTCCACGCCCACGGCGCCATCGCTCTCCCGCAGCACCACGCCTCGCCGCTGCCGCCCCCGGCGTTGCCCACGCCGCCCGCCGGCGCCGCCCTCGTCGGCGCCAACGGTACCGGAAGTGGCGGCGGCGGCGGAGGTGGACTGATGGTGCTGTCGGGCCCGCTAGGAGCCTCGTTGTTGCACCAGCTACCTGCCGACAAGGGCCACCATGGCCTCCTGCAGGGACAGCTCCACCTACAGCAGCAGCACCACCACCAGCAGCAGCAACAGCAAGGAGAGCGTGGCCAGCGAGGTATGAATTGGAAGCTCAAGGCTCGTGTGATGGGACCCAAGCCGCGAGTGTGAGAACAGAAGCTCCCCCACCCCGAGGATTTAGTCTGTGGGCGCCCGGTCAAATCCTGACCTTGCTGCCACCTGAGATGGTGGCACTACTCGAGCTGGACCAACATCGTGAATAAAGTCGAATCGGGCGACAGCGCCGTTTAAATAACCTTGACAGGCGGCAGGGCGGTGGCACGGGGGGGGGGGGGGGGCTGTGCGCGGGAAAAGAATCGGAAAGAAGTATCTCGTCTTTTTTTTTTATATATATCGAGTAGAGATTGCGTTGTTGCTCTGCATCCAAAGGTACCCCTGTCGTGTTTGTGCTCTGCTGGACATCTGTGTAAAAGAGCTTTATAGCGTATTGGATTCCTCCAGTATGAGTAAATATTTTTATTCTGATTCTCACGAGACCCTCCTGAACTCAGAGCACGAACAGTAATCCACTTGGTTACGTCACAATAACATTCCAAGGTAATATGCATTGTGAGGGTTTATATATATATGTTCTGGAGGATTTAAAGAATATTCTGGTAAGATAATTACATGGATACGAGCACAAATTGAAATGGTGTAGCGATGTCAAACCGTGCCAGTCTTGTACTATTCGTGGCTTCCACCACTTCGGTGTTGCCGTCTCTTGCCTCGGCAATGTCGGTTGACTCCCTTGCTGCCGGGCAACTGGCTAAACAGGTGCTCATCCACCATAACAAATCGTAATAAACTTAATCAACGATGCGGCTCCTAAACCTTCTACCACCGGTCTCCTTTAGTCAGGTGACCAGCAGGCTTACGCTGGTAACGGCCCCAAGGCAGCCACAATCAACAACGGAGTCGCTGTTGGTGTGGACAGGAGCCCAGCCAGAAGCCAGCCAGTGAACTCGAGGCATTGATTATATATTATAATATATTTTATGTATAATAGGAGTATGACATTTATTTGAAGGAAATCAATTCAACAGCAAAAACAACCTGAGTCCGTCTGTAATTTACGGAGAGTCATTGCCATATATTGCAGCTTGGTAAAATGGCATTAAACATTTTTAATTTGGAGGGGAATCGGGGGAGGAGAGAGAGGGGGGACATCGGCTGGCAGAGCCGCATCAATCGATCCGCAGTCAGAATTGAATGAGCATGGTTGGCTACGTAAGGTACGAAAGAAGTATGAGAGGGGGGGGGGAGGGGGAGGGGGTGGCCAGCGATCGCCGTCGGAAATCCGAGGAGGGGCGAGGTCGTGAGCACACGGTCGTGTCGGACGCCCGGGGAAGCACGCATTGAAAGCGATGCCGTCACGGTATTCGCTCAGCCAAAAAACAGAGTGGGAGAAAGGGTGGACCGAGTGTGACGATGACAGGGGAACTTGACCCCTGGGTTCCAGCGTGGACAAGGTGAGGGTGTGGGTGGTTCTATTCTGTCTATACCCCCCCCCCCACTGTTTTGTCTGCCCCCCATCCCCCCAACCCCACCCTTGCCCCATCGCCGCTGCCTCTGACATCCGCTGAAGGCGACGGCGACCGAGAGATGCGCGTGGTGAGAGTCGCACACCGCTCGCTCATCACTCGCAGTCACGCGTGGCGGCGCCAACATTCTTAATACCCAGAGGCAACTCTTAATACCCAGAGGCAACTCTTAATACCCAGAGGCAACTCTTAATACCCAGAGGCAACTCTTAATACCCAGAGGCAACTCTTAATACCCAGAGGCAACTCTTAATACCCAGAGGCAACTCTTAATACCCAGAGGCAACTCTTAATACCCAGAGGCAACTCTTAATACCCAGAGGCAACTCTTAATACCCAGAGGCAACTCTTAATACCCAGAGGCAACTCTTAATACCCAGAGGCAACTCTTAATACCCAGAGGCAACTCTTAATACCCAGAGGCAACTCTTAATACCCAGAGGCAACTCTTACTACCCAGAGGCAACTCTTAATACCCAGAGGCAACTCTTAATACCCAGAGGCAACTCTTAATACCCAGAGGCAACTCTTAATACCCAGAGGCAACTCTTAATACCCAGAGGCAACTCTTAATACCCAGAGGCAACTCTTAATACCCAGAGGCAACTCTTAATACCCAGAGGCAACTCTTAATACCCAGAGGCAACTCTTAATACCCAGAGGCAACTCTTAATACCCAGAGGCAACTCTTAATACCCAGAGGCAACTCTTAATACCCAGAGGCAACTCTTAATACCCAGAGGCAACTCTTAATACCCAGAGGCAACTCTTAATACCCAGAGGCAACTCTTAATACCCAGAGGCAACTCTTAATACCCAGAGGCAACTCTTAATACCCAGAGGCAACTCTTAATACCCAGAGGCAACTCTTAATACCCAGAGGCAACTCTTAATACCCAGAGGCAACTCTTAATACCCAGAGGCAACTCTTAATACCCAGAGGCAACTCTTAATACCCAGAGGCAACTCTTAATACCCAGAGGCGTACTCATTCACTGGCCAATCGTCGTGGAGCGTAGGAGACACAGGCGTGAAGTGCAAGCCGCCCCGATTGACGCGACAAAAGCAGACTGGAGTTTTAATTAATTTTGCGTTTGTCTTTGTGTCCGTGTGCATGTGTTCCTTTTGTTTACGTCTCAGAGCAAATCCATCTCGCCGTCGGGCAGTCTGAGGGACGCGGAGAAGTTTCGGCTCTCGGCCAACTACGGCGGCGAGGCCAAGAAGCACCGCGTGGATGTCAAGGACCCGGCAGCCAACCACTATGTGAGTCGCCCGTCCACCCGCGGTCATGTTCCCTTGAGGACATTGTTGTTGTTTTGTTGTTGTCCTTGTGAAAGGCGAGAGCCGACCTGCCGTGAACATCCGATGACGCTGGGCGTCATCGCCAGCAAAATACTTAGTGGAAAATTGTCGTGAAATGTTTTGCTCGGCCTTTTCAACGTTCCTTCTCGACCACCCTCCTCTGGTTTAGCTGAAAGGATGGTCGGCATTTCTGACTACGTGACAAATAAAACGAAACTATTTTTTTGGTTTAACAGATAGGCTTCTACGCCTCTATTTAAGGAACGAAATTGGTGAACTTCTCCACAAATCTGGCTGTCACCTGAGAAGCTCGTAATTACTGGTGAAACGTCGTACTCGGATTGTAAACGTTGTGGCTTGTCTCTCAAACACACCGATGTCTTGTACTAGTAACTAATTGGCACGTTCTGTTTACGTGACAGACCTTACTAATTGGCTGTGTCGGGTGGTGGCGGGTTTTAATGACACATTTATATATTTACGCGATCTAACCCAAAAAACCTCTATTATGGATATATATTATTTTTTCATTTACCAAATAAGGCCCACTGAGCTTCATAGTTCTTTTTCAGAAGCGACATAGGCACAAATGATAGCTCAACAAAGTGGCTTATTGTGTGGAAATTTATAGCAGCCAAATACTCAAAATGCACTTTGATTCTAAGTGTGGAGGGGAAAAGCCAGAGAAAAATCCACACGGCCACGGGGAGAGAGACACGCAAACTCCAAATATACAGCAGGCGTCAGGGTCAGGATCGAACCCACGACCTCCTGTATACCAGGTGAGGTAGTTAACATCTCCTAGCCATCGTGGCACCTCAACTTAATTTGATTGACTCTGTCTGGTGCCGGAGGGTACAGCTGAAAAATTGGCATTATACCTTCACTCTGATCTAACTCTAAATTAACGAATTATGAATCGTAATTTTATTGGTGATGATGTCATCATTGTTGCTGCCGTTCGGTTGTCATTCATCGGCGTTCTTGTTGATGTTTGTTGTCATTTTTGATTGTGCGTTGTTGTTATCGTCGTTGTTTACGGAGCACGTGACTCGATGTCGGCTCGGCCGTGAGTTTGCGAGCCCCCAACTCGCCCCTCGCTGGGTTTGGCAGCCACCGCTGAAGCCGCCGCTTCACTCGTGATGAACATCTCAACGGATCCGCTGTGAAAATGTCACCCCAGTGACAAGCGGCAGAAACTTGACCCAGTGGCTGCAACACCCCCCCCCTTCCTTCCACCCCCCCGCTCCCTCAGTGCCATTCCCCCCCCCCCCCCAGCTCGCGCTTCCACTCGGCGCGCTTTCCAATTTCTCGCCGCGCACTGGGCAGGGGTGGTGGCCAGTGAGGGGCGGGGGGGGGTGAGGAGTAGGGAGGGTGAGGTGCTGAGGGGGGGTGAGGGCCGGGGGGGGGGCTTCACATGGGCCGTTTTCTTGTGGGGAGTTCAGTGCAGTTGCTCCTGTCCCGTGCTCGGCTTTTTCCACGGCACCTCGGGGGGGCTGCCGCCACCCGCACGAAACACGAAGAGAATCGTTTGTTCAAACGTCCCCCGAGCGATCGGTCGCTCTCACCGAAGGGCGGCGCGGTCGGCCACGTGGGTACCATCGTTCACGAGCCTCGGCACACGCAGGCGATCGGCAGGTTGCGTGTGGTGGGGTAGAGCATGGGTAACTTTCAACAGTTCCAAGGCGTCTGGCCGGCTTGGAAGAGTAGGCAAAATACTGCCTGCATGGGGCTCCAAAGCTCTCTCTCTTCTCGAGTGGAAGCCCTTCTGCCAGGTGCAGTGGCGTGAGAAAGCAATTGCAGGGCTGCACCTTTACCCTGTATGTGTGTTGGGCGGGAAAATGAATGGCGAGCACGTCCGTGGGTGTGAGCACGTGTGTGTGTGTGTGGGTGTGAGCACGTGTGTGTGTGTGTGGGTGTGAGCACATGTGTGTGTGCGTGTGTGGCACAGTAGGGGACACAGGTGGTGCATCAGCCAGTCATCTCGGTCAGTTGACCCATGGCACCTGAGTCTGTCCCATGACCTCCTGCCTTAGTGGCGAATGGCGGTTGTAGTGGTTGTTGTGCGACCACCACTATGTCTTTCAGGACAGCGACGCGGCCAGGAGTGACGACAACCTCGTGGTGGACATCTCTAACGAGGTGAGGCACTGCGTGGGGATGGGCCACTCACCCAACCACCTAGCCACTCCCCCAACCACCTAGCCACTCACCCAACCACCAAGCCACTCACCCAACCACCTAGCCACTCACCCAACCACCTAGCCACGCACCCAACCACCTAGCCACTCACCCAACCACCTAGCCACTCACCCAACCACCTAGCCACTCACCCAACCACCTAGCCACGCACCCAACCACCTAGCTAGTCACCCAACCACCTAGCCACACACCCAACCACCTAGCCAGTCACCCAATCACCTAGCCACTCACCCAACCACCTAGCCACGCACCCAACCACCTAGCCAGTCACCCAATCACCTAGCCAGTCACCCAATCACCTAGCCACTCACCCAACCACCTAGCCACGCACCCAACCACCTAGCCAGTCACCCAATCACCTGGCCACTCTCCCAACCACCTAGCCACTCACCCAACCACCTAGCTACTCACCCAACCACCTAGCCAGTCACGCAACCACCTAGCCACTCTCCCAACCACCTAGCCACTCGCCCAACCACCTAGCCAGTCACGCAACCATCTAGCCAGTCACCCAACAACCTGCCACTCTCCCAACCACCTAGCCACTCACCCAACCACCTAGCTACTCACCCAACCACCTAGCCAGTCACGCAACCACCTAGCTACTCACCCAACCACCTAGCCACTCACCCAACCACCTAGCCACTCACCCAACCACCTAGCCACTCACCCAACCACCTAGCCACTTGCCCAACCACCTAGCCACTCACCCAACCACCTGGTCACTCTCCCAACCACCTAGCCAGTCACCCAACCACCTAGCCATTCACCCAACCACCTAGCCACTCACCCAACTGCCTAGCCACTCGCCCAACCACCTAGCCACTCACCCAACCACCTAGCTACTCACCCAACCACCTAGCCACTCACCCAACCGCCTAGCCACTCTCCCAAGCACCTAGCCACTCACCCAAGCACCTAGCCACTCTCCCAAGCACCTAGCCACTCTCCCAAGCACTTAGCCACTCACCCAACCACCTAGCCACTCACCCAACCACCTAGCCACTCACCCAAGCACCTAGCCACTCTCCCAAGCACCTAGCCACTCACCCAACCACCTGGCCACTCACCCAATCTCACTCTAAAATACACACCTCCCCAACCACCCAAACACACACTTGCCTCGTCATCCGCCTAACTGGACAGCCAACCATCCAACCACACAACCACTTACTCAACCGACTTGAAAACACACATGCACCCACCCGGACACCCACCTGCCTGGTTTGTTTCAACACTAACCCACGAAAATATGTGAATGGAACAGTCCGTTTTGAGATAAAAATTCACACGGTGGACATTGAATTTGGAACATTCCATTGTGGAGAAGCAGCCGGGTTTGGTGTTGGACGCTGCCCAAGTGAGCTGCTGCCCCCCCATGCCTCACCTCCCCATGGGCCCCTGCCATACTAGTACCCTCCTCACCTCCCCGTGCTCCCCTCCGTCACCTCCCCATGAAGTAAAGCCCAGGACTGGACCACACATTAAACCAGACCTTACGCCAAAATAACTTGACTCCATCTCTGGGCCCGGGAACTTTGTGGCGATGTTGTGGCGACGTCGTGATTGCGGCCCATTCAGGAGGCTTCCTCTCCCCGGGTGGGGAGCCCGGGACCCGGCGGCATCGGCGTCAGCGTGGCACCACCGCAGGAGAACGGTCTCGATCGGCTTCCCGGGGGCCGGAAGGAGGGGGGCGGCGGTGGCAGCGGTGGCGGCGGGGGGCCCCCCCAAAGCCCCGCTTCGGTGGCATCCAGCAGCAGCACCCCCTCGTCACGCTGCAAAGATGCTGGCCAGGTGCCGCCCGCTACCACGCCACCTCTCTAAATCCCCCACTCCCCACCCATCTCACGATTCTCTCCATTAATTCGCCATTTCTGTGAGCTGGATTTTAGATGCCCCCCAAACCTCCTGTCAGTCATGGAGGTCATGGAGTTTGTTTGACCATACTTGACCATTCTGGACAGTGTGGGTTGATAGGTAACGTTCTGGTCATCTATCTACCACTAGGCCTCTTCATCTACAACTTTGATTTATCTTTTTTCTCTCCTTGCCGCGCTCGCTCCCACCCGGTTCCCTCCCGGTTCCTGCGTTGTCTCTCTGCTCCCTGAGACGTTTGCTACATTCCGGGCGCAGTCCGGATGAGAGCTGTCAACGATGATGACAGTGATGGTGATGATGACGACGACCATGATGACAATGATGTTGTTACCCACGGTGCCGTTAACCTCGGCCGCGCCTCCTTTGTCGTCATCGTCGCCGGCAGGTGGAGAAGGCCATCACGCCGGTGTCGGTGCTGGGCGACTCCCTTGGGGTCGCCGGCACCGGCGGAGGAGGTGCTGTCAGCTTGAGGCCTCTCCTGGGGAAACCGCCTGGCGCCATCCCCCTCGGTAAGGGCCGTGGCCGCCCCTATCAAGACCCCCGCTGTGCCCACCTCATCTCCCCCCCCGCCACTGATCTCCCGGCGGAGTTTTGACGTTGAATCCCCGCCTGGTGGTGCACACGGCGAATGGTGGCTGGCACATGTCGCCCCTCCTCTTCCCTCCCCTCGCCCCTCCACTCCAACCCGTCCCTCCTCAGTAGCCCTTTCGTGGCTCCTAACTACCGCTTGATCGCTCATTTCTCAATCCTTGCACGCCCCTGTCTAAAACATTCGCCATTTTTTTAAGCTGTGTTAAGCGCCTCCTGTGAAGGCGCTTTATAAATATAAAGTGAAATTAGATAAGGTTGTCGAAAATGTGTGTTGGTCTATACTGTTCTGGGCAGTGCCCAATATTCCCTCTGATTGGCCAACTTGCGGATTGTTTACTCTCCCATCTCAGTTACAATTTAATGCCGAGCTGTCGATTCTTTGCGCTAACATCATTTGGCATCATATATCCGTGTCCGCGTATGTGTTAGTACCACAGTCGCCCCATGTCTCTTTTAATGTCTCTCTCAATTAGTCTAATTGTGCTGTGATCAGTCCAACCTTAATCTGCCTGAGCCGACTTGCACTGCAGGGAATATTGTTATTCAACGTTAATTTATGTTTGTCCAATATTTTCGATTTCTCGTGTGATACAGTTGTGCCGATTTCTATTTTTACTTCATCATCGTATTCTACTGTTCTTATTCATCATTCTATTGTTATTATTCATCATTCTACTGTTCTTATTCATCATTCTACTGTTCTTTTTTTTTACTTTTGTCATTTTTGGTGACCCAGGTCACTCTTGCACCACCTGGTTCAACAAAATCAATTTGAAAGTCTGTGTATTCCTCTGTGTGTCTGTGGTTATTTCTGTATCTCTGTGTATTATTATGCGTCTCTCTGGGTCTCTATGTATCTCTGTGTATTCCTCTGTGTCTCTGTGGGTCTCTCTGTATCTGTGTATTCCTCTGTGTGTCTGTGGTTATTTCTGTATCTCTGTGTATTATTCTGTGTCTCTCTGGGTCTCTATGTACCTCTGTGTATTCCTCTGTGTCTCTGTGGGTCTCTCTGTATCTGTGTATTCCTTTGTGTGTCTGTGAGTTGCTATCTATCTCTCTGTATTATTCTGTGTCTCTGTGAGTCTCTATGTATCTCTGTGTATTCCTCTTTCTCTGTGGGTCTCTGTATCTCTGGGTATTCCTCTGTGTCTCTTTGGGTCTCTATGTATCTCTGTGTATTCATCTGTGGGTCTCTAAGTATGTTTTTGTATTCTTCTGTGTCTCTGTGGGTTTCTCTGTCTCTGTGTATTCCTCTGTGACTCTGTGGGTCTCGCTGTATCTGTGTGCTCCTCTGTGTCTCTGTGAGTCTCAACATATATCTGTGCATTCCTCTGTGTCTCTGTTAGTCTGTCTGTATCTATTTGGATCTTCTTCGTTTCGGTGACCCGGATCACCCTAGTGCACATGAGACTATCTCCTTGTCTTTTTGAGTTCTCACCTGATATAAAAAATGTTTATTTAAAACTTACCACTGAAACTAAACTAAGAGCTGTATAGCATTTTTTCAGAAGCGACTTGGTGATCACAAATGATAGCTCAACGAAGTGGCTTGTTACGTGGAAATTTATTTCAGCCAAATACTCTAAACGCGTGAGGTTGACTAAATGTAGATGGAAAAACCGGAGGCCGCAGAGAAAAATCGACACGACCATGGGGAGAGAGACATGCAAACTCGAAATAAACAGGCGTCAGGGTCGGAATCGAACCCACGACCTCCTGTATACCAGGCGAGGAAGTTAACATCTAAGTTGCCACGTATCACTCACAACCAGATGATCGGTGAAATTCAAGCAGGACCCACCTGAAAAAAAAACAATCAATAAACTCCGGCGAGTCTTTTCCCTGCATAAATAAATAACTGCGTTAATTATTCATTATGAAATCAGTGCCGTCATTCACTTCGTGAATATGCAAGTGGTGCGATTCTGCAAGAGCACACCTTGAACATCGCACGCCTGTTGCGCATCAGTGTCAGCACGGGGTCAAACGGCATAGCCCAGAGGCCGGCAACCTGCGGCTTGGGAGCCGCGTGCGCTGGCGCTTTACGGACCGCTCCTTCGTGACCTTATTCATTAAGGACCTACCGGCTTGTATTCACCACAGTCGATTCGAAAAAAACGGATCTTATTTCGGTTGCTGACCCCCTGGCGTAACCGATTGGCGAGGCGGCCTCGCCAGCGGTGGCCGTGACGACCTCTTGACCCTGACCCACGTGCCCTCCTCCCCCCTCCCCAGCTGGCTGCGGCTTCCGGGTTCCCCTGGCGGGCGGAGGCGCGGGGGGGGGCGGCCCCCCCTTCGTCGGGGGCGGTGGCGTCGGCGCCCCCTTCGGGATTGCTCCCCACCCGGGCGCCAACGGGGAGACGAGCGCGCCGGGGCCCGGCCGTTATGGACCTCCCGGCGTCCATCTACACGGCCTCGCCCCACACGCGAGCGCCCTCGCCGCCGCCGCCACGGCCGCCACCTACGGCCGCTCGCCCGTGGTGAGACCGGCACTTCGGCGCGATTTCACCACCGTCGCGTCGTCGCGCCCACCGCGGGCCGGTACGCCCGCGGTGGGCACCGGAGCGCCGGCTTGGAAGCCGGTAATTAAAGAGGTGAATCATTTATTTGGTGCCCCCCCCCCTCCCACCACGCCCGCCCCCCACCCCCGTGGCAGTGCGACGAGGAGTCTTATCGCGCCACACGCTATTTCCACCCGCAGGGCCGAGTGGTTATTCTCGCAGCACCGATGGGTTTTCTGGTGGGGGTTTGGGGGGTAGGAGGGGCCGGGGGAGGAGGGGGCGGGGGGAGGGAGCATGCAGTGGAGACGAGGGTTTAGGTCTCCCGAGCGTGAGGCTGTAATTGATCGGCGAGGCGTGAGATTAAAAATCGCACCCCGGGCGTTTGTGCGTGCGTGCGTGCGGGTGTCTGAGTGTGCGTGCATTCGAGTGTGCTGCTGTGTGCGCGTGTGGGGTAGTGCTCGTGTGTGTGTTTGTGTGTGCATGTACCATGCTGGCCTTCAGCATGGCACATGCACTTGCCCCAACAGTATGTTAAGGCTATTTGGGGTATCTTTGTCTTTTTTTGTGTGTGCAGCAGTGGCACGGTGGTTAGCGCACGGTGGTTAGCGCACTGTGCTACGAACTCACCCACCTGAGTTTGATTCCCGCTGAGAGCCAGTATCAGCGACGAATAATTGAACCGGTTCAAGGCGCCTCCTTGGTAAATTCAGTCTTAGAATGCACCTGGTGTACTGCGTAAAGACATCAGCACTGGCAAGAAAAATGCGGCATCCGGGAGTGGTGCTGGCCACCCACCCCGTCGTGTGCTGTGCTCGCTAACAGCACTTGCCCCAACATCATGTTGAGGCTATACGGGGAGCTTTGCTTTGCTTGCTGTATTTGAGCGGTGTATAGTTTGGGGGGCAGAGGACGCCCCGCCCCTTCCCGCCGCCACCTTGACATCTATCCAGCTCATGTCTGGACATGCGTTCACGTGTGTGTGTGCAGCTTTTTCCTCGCCCCACACACAGCTCCACCACACGCTGACGATTCCTCCGCTCTCGATAGCTGGGCGGTCTGTACGGCGGACAGATCCGGCCTCCCGTGTTTGTCTCGCGGCCGTTTAAATTCACCAACGTCAAGCACGTCCATAGGCCACGTGAGCAGCGGGTTCGGTGTCCCGGGTGGGGGGCCGGGGGGCCGGTTGTGCGAGGTCGTCGTCGCGAGCAACCGAGCGGTGCGCGGTCCCTCGCGGACTCTCGTTGGTGCTCGTCTCCCGTTTGTCGCGCGCAGATGGAGTTTGATCCGCACGCACACATGAGGGTCCACGCGGCGGCCACCCCGGGCCTCACTGCTGGCCTTGCCACCAAGCCGTGCGTACCTACTCCTCCTCCTATACTCCTCTTCCTCCACTCCTCCTCCTCCACTCCTCCTCCTCCACTCCTCCTCCAGTCCTCTTCCTTCACTCCTCCTCCTCCACTCCTCCTCCACTCCTCCTCCACTCCTCCTCCACTCTTCCTCCACTCCTCCTCTTCCTCCACTCCTCCTCCAGTCCTCTTCCTTCACTCCTCCACTCTTCTTCCTCCACTCCTCTTCCTTCACTCCTCTTCCTTCACTCCTCCTCTTCCACTCTTCCTCCTCCACTCCTCCTCCTCCACTCCTCCACTCCTCCTCCACTCCTCCTCCTCCACTCTTCCTCCTCCACTCCTCCTCCTCCACTCCTCCACTCCTCCACTCCTCCTCCTCCACTCCTCCTCCTGCACTCCTCCTCCTCCACTGCCATGGCCACGGCCCGGTCACTGCAGCTTTGTTTTACTCCACTCACCATCTTGAAGGTACCCTATGGACTTGCCCTCACTCTACTCCCCTCCGAAATCTCCCCTCACAACTCATTTTATATTTCTGAATCACCACCCCCCGGCCTTGAGACATTTCTAGATCCACACGTGTGCTGCCTTGCCCTCCACCCCCTTTCCCACCCCTCCCGCCCTCCGTCCCCTCCACCCACCCACTCTCTGCTGGTGCCAGCAGGGCCTACTCATTCCACGTAAGCGCCGATGGGCAGATGCAGCCGGTGGCGTTCTCCGGGGACGCGCTGGCGGGCCCCGGCGTGCCACGGCGCGTGCGGCTCGTGAGCGCCCTGCCGCACGGCGAGGTGGTGTGCGCCGTCACCATCAGCAGCGCCGCACGCAGCGTCTTCACCGGCGGCAAGGGCTGCGTTAAGATCTGGGACGTGGCCCAGCAGCAGCAGCAGCAGCACCACGGGGGCAAGGCAGCGCCCGTGTCGCAGCTCGACTGCCTGGTGCGCGTCCGCTCTCTCCGCCCGCGTGAATACTCGTCGCTCACTCTCACACCCGCCCTGTTGCCACCCCCCTCCCCCAATACCCACGTGCTGGCATTCGTATCCACCAACATGACCGCATTACTGCTCCACCAGTCACGCATTACAACCGCTCCTGCCCTCGTGCTCGCCACGCTCACTCGCCCTCGCCACGCTCACTCGCCCTCGTGCCCCCGCGCGCCCCCTCGCCCGTCTTTGTAACAGCTCACCCACCCCTCGCGCGCATGCCCTCATTCCCAACTCGCTACTGAGCTGCCCTCATTACTCGCTCACCACTGCTACCCACAGCCCCATTCCAACTGGCCGCTCACTGAACCTCACTCGTTATAATCTTGGTCGAATTTGTGCCCATCTGGATCTTAAATCTGGACCAAATCAAGTTGCTAATATGGGCCAAGTCAGTTATTAATCTTGGCCAAATCAGTTAGTAATCTGCGCCAAATCCATCACTAATCTTGGCCAAATCAGTTAGAAATCTGGGCCAAATCAGTCACGAATATTGGCCAAATCATTCTCGAATCTGGTGCGAATGTGTCGCTAATCTGGGTTGTGTCCAGTCCACGAACGCGATGCCTTTGCCGCCGCACAGAACCGCGACAACTACATCCGCTCATGCAAGCTGCTGCCGGACGGGCGCACACTGATCGTGGGCGGCGAGGCGAGCACCATCTCCATCTGGGACCTGGCGGCGCCGACGCCGCGCATCAAGGCGGAGCTCACGTCGTCGGCGCCTGCGTGCTACGCGCTCGCCATCAGCCCCGACTCCAAGGTGTGCTTCTCCTGCTGCAGCGACGGCAACGTCGCCGTGTGGGACCTGCACAACCAGACGCTTGTCAGGTTCGTCTCGCCGCTCCCACCGCCGCCCACCCATGACCTCTGACCCCCACCCCAGCCCCGCAACCGCCCCGCCTCCCAACTCCGCCCACCCCCCTCTCACGACCACGACCACCCTCCCACCCCAACCCCACCCCCCTCCCCCACCTCGGTGTGTGGGACCTGCACAACCAGACACTCGTCAGGTTCGTCCCACCGCTCCCACCCATGACCTCTAACCCCCGCGACCCCGCAACATGCATGCATACGCGGGTAGTACGTATGCATATTGAACTTATTTCGCACCGCATGTAGCCAACCGTGCTAATTGGAGGTGCGGGGTGAGGACAACAAACTAAACGGGTAGGATTCACGGTCTAACTTGGTTCTAGTGCGACCGCGCGTGTGACTCCTTCATCACTACCGGGTAAAACTAAACTATGAACGAAACTATTTTTATTTTTACTAGGTAAGGCCTACTGAGCTATGTAGCTCTTTTTCAGAAGAAAACCTGGCCACAAATAATAGCTCAACGAAGTGGCTTATGGTGTGGAAATTGATAGCGGCAGCCAAATACTCGAAATGCTTTTGATTCTAAATGTGGAGGGAAAAAACTGAGGATCCAAAAAAAAATCCACGCCACCGTGGGGCGAGAGAGATATACAAAATCCAAATATACAGCAGGCATCAGGGTTGGGATCGAACCCACGACCTCCTCTATACTAGGTGAGGGAGTTAACATCTCGCCACCACCGCGCTTGAAGGGAAACAACGAACCGTTTGAAAGCTCCTGGGTCTCGAGGTTGCATTCCTTACGAACGTTCCTCCTCAATCCGTTTTGGGCTTTCCCGACTTTTGAAAAACCGGAAACCAAATTCTGAAAACGATCCTCACTCGTTTTGTTGTTGGTGGTAGCTCTGTGCCAGAATCCTCATCGCTATCCCCTCCCCACACCAGCCGACACGACCGTCACGTCCGCACGGACACCCGTTGCCGCTTCCTCCGGCCCGTCCCCCGCAGGCAGTTCCAGGGCCACACGGATGGCGCCAGCTGCATCGACATCTCGCACGACGGCGCCAAGCTGTGGACGGGCGGCCTGGACAACACGGTGCGATCTTGGGACCTGCGCGAGGGACGGCAGCTGCAGCAGCACGACTTCACCTCGCAGGTGCGGCCGCAGGGCGGGGCATGGTGGGGGGGTCGCTGTGGCAACCGGAGCCACTGTAACCAGGGGTAATTGTGGTGGGGACGGGGTGTGACCATCGTAACCGGCGTTACCTGGGACAACCGGGATAACTGGAGTGCACCTGGTAACAGGAGTAACAGGAGTAATCAGGGTTTCCATGTTTACCAGGGTAAATGGGACAATCGTAATGAGTGATAACTAGGGAAATCAGGGTAGCCACGGACAACAAGGGTAACTAGGGACAACTTGGGTAACCAGGGACAAGGGTAACCAGGGTATCCATGGGTAACCAAGACAGCCGGGGTAACGAGGGGCAACCGGGGCCATGGTCGCCTGCCCATTCACCCACTCGGTCATTTGCACGCTCACTTGGCTAATTGCTCACCCGGCTACTCACTCATTCGCCCACCCACACTCACTGGCCCGCTCTCTTACCCACTCGCTCATCTACCCACTCACTTGCCCACTCCCTGGCCCACTCATTTGCTCACTCGCCCGTTTACTCGCTCACTCACTCACCCATTTGCTCACCCACTCACTTTAACCTTGGAGCATCACCCAGCCGGATGTTTGCTAATGTTTTACCGGCAGAGTCGGTAAGTTTTCGGACGGCTGGCACAGCCGCTCCGCCCCGATCAATCTTTCACGCCGTCGCTGGCCACCCCTTGGCAGATCTTCTCGCTGGGCTACTGCCCGACGGGCGAGTGGCTGGCCGTGGGCATGGAGAGCAGCAGCGTGGAGGTGCTGCACAACAGCAAGCCTGACAAGTACCAGCTGCACCTGCACGAGAGCTGCGTGCTGTCTCTCAAGTTCGCCCACTGCGGTGAGCGTCGTCGTCGCTGCCATCGCTATCCCTGACTTTTCGTCTTTTTTGTTGTCTTGTTTATTTATTCGTCTCATCCGGGAGAAACTCTCGCCGAGTACCAAGAATCGTCTATTTTGGGATGAGAGCTGGAATTTGGCAAAATTTATTTCAGCACCAAATATTGTTTGGTAGGGTTTTTTTACGTGTGTGTAGTGACATACTGGACGTCACTAGAGGGTAGCCATAGTAGACAGCGATGGGGGGCGCTGTAGGGGCATGGCCCTGGCAACGGTGAGAGAGAGAGCGCGTGAGGATGTGGCCTTTGGATGAACTCGGGAGAACACGTGACCGGATGAGGTGGAAGCGGCTACCCCCCAAGGGGGGCGAGAGGGACACATGATGGGGAACCAGAGCCCTCGAGAAGAATCTGGAATGGGGCGTGGCCAGGGGCAGAGCCACTGGCCACGACGGAGCAGATATAAGTTGGGATGGAGAAGCTGGCAGGGGCGCCATCGTTGGAGGTTGGAGTGCTGTTGAAGAGATATGCGGCCCGCTCGGTCTTCGGGCGTGAGAGAAGTCGTCAAGAGCCGGGCAACGTGTTCGCTGGTCCGGCAGGTTATATAGTGTTCCCGTGAGTGTTATGTAGCTATCCAGGTTGGTCACCACCCTTACAGTTAGGGAAAAAAGTATTTGATCCCCTGATGATTTAGTACGTTTGCCCACTGACAAAGAAATGTTCAGTCTATAATTTTAATGATAGGTTTATTTTAACAGTGAGAGACAGAATAACAACATCAAAATCCAGAAAAACGCATGTCAAAAATGTTATAAATCGATTTGCATTTTAATGAGGGAAATAAGTATTTGACCCCCTCTCAATCATAAAGATTTCTGGCTCCCAGGTGTCTTTTATACAGGTAACAAGCTGAGATTAGGAGCACACTCTTAAAGGGAGTGCTCCTAATCTCAGCTTGTTACCTGTATAAAAGACACCTGTCCACAGAAGCAATCAATCAATCAGATTCCAAATTCACCACCATGGCCACGACCAAAGAGCTCTCCAAGGATGTCAGTGACAAGATTGTAGACCTACACAAGGCTGGAATGGGCTACAAGACCATTGCCAAGCAGCTTGGTGAGAAGGTGACAACAGTTGGTGCGATTATTCGCAAATGGAAGAAACACAAAAGAACTGTCAATCTCCCTCGGCCTGGGGCTCCATGCAAGATCTCACCTCGTGGAGTTGCAATGATCATGAGAGCGGTGAGGAATCAGCCCAGAACTACACGGGAGGATCTTGTCAATTATCTCAAGGCAGCTGGGACCATAGTGATCAAGAAAACAATTGGTAACACACTACGCCGTGAAGGACTGAAATCCTGCAGCGCCCGCAAGGCCCCCCTGCTCAAGAAAGCACATATTATACGTGCCCGTCTGAAGTTTGCCAATTAACATCTGAATGATTCAGAGGACAACTGGGTGAAAATGGTGTGGTCAGATAAGACCAAAATGGAGCTCTTTGGCATCAACTCAACTCGTCTTGTTTGGAGGAGGAGGAATGCTGCCTATGACCCCAAGAACACCATCCCCACCATCAAATATGGAGGTGGAAACATTATGCTTTGGGGGTGTTTTTCTGCTAAGGGGACAGGACAACTTCACCGCATCAAAGGGACGATGGACGGGGCCATGTACCGTCAAATCTTGGGTGAGAACCTCCTTTCCTCAGCCAGGGCATTGAAAATGGGTCGTGGATGGGTATTCCAGCATGACAATGACCCAAAACACACGGCCAAGGCAACAAAGGAGTGGCTCAAGAAGAAGCACATTAAGGTCCTGGAGTGGCCTAGCCAGTCTCCAGACCTTAATCCCATAGAAAATCTGTGGAGGGAGCTGAAGGTTCGAGTTGACAAACGTCAGCCTCGAAACCTTTAATGACTTGGAGAAGATCTGCAAAGAGGAGTGGGACAAAATCCCTCCTGAGATGTGTGCAAACCTGGTGGCCAACTACAAGAAACGTCTGACCTCTGTGATTGCCAAAAAGGGTTTTGCCACCAAGTACTAAGTCATGTTTTGCAGAGGGGTCAAATACTTATTTCCCTCATTAAAATGCAAATCAATTTATAACATTTTTGACATGCGTTTTTCTGGATTTTTTTGTTGTTATTCTGTCTCTCACTGTTCAAATAAACCTACCATTAAAATTATAGACTGATCATTTCTTTTTCAGTGGGAAAACGTACAAAATCAGCAGGGGATCAAATACTTTTTTCCCTCACTGTAGTCATCCCGTTGAGTGTAGACTTACCTGTGTTGTTTTAGTGAATTAAATGTGTTGCCTCCATACTCATTTGGTGTCAGAAGTGGCTAACCATACTAAGTGATAGCTCTAGACTAGAAGAAAATGTTTTCTCATAGACGACAACCCATGAAGACTTCGTCGGATGAAGGGGATGAAGAGGGGATCATTCCCCAGACAGCCCATGCTGTTGCAGCCCCAGAGAAAGAGAGCGAGGCGGTGCTGCCGGCGGAGCAGCGACAAGAGTTTTACGCCACAGCCTTTCCGCAATCGGGGAGAGACCGCGGGGCGTGCCGCACCCGCCTCGCCGAGCTGCTGGCTGCCGTGGCAGTGTTGGTCTCTGAGCTGGGCCACGACGAGCCGCCGCCAGAGACCGGAGTGCCAGAGCTTAGAGGGGTCAACGCCGCAGCCGCCATTTCCCACGCGCGGGAATCTTCGGACGAGCAGCCCGCGCGCACCGCCGCCATTTGGCGATCGGGTGGGAAGATCTTCCCACCGTCTCCGAATCTCCACAACTGCCGACTATTGCGGTTCCACCTCTCCGGCGATGACTCCCATTCATCAAAGAGTTTATGGCGTCGGATGGCGACAGGGAAGCGTTCAGGAGGCGCGTCATGGCGAACTGTGAGTTGGCGGGTTGGACGGCGGTGGAGGCGCTCCGTGCTCTCCCCACTGCACTAGATGACAATGCCTTGGCGGCAGTCTACGTCATTCCCTCCGCCGACAGGGACACGTTGCCGCGGGCCTTCATGCAGATGGCAGCGATTTTTGATCCATCATCCAACGTTCGTCAGAAATTTGCCGCGCGGACTCTAGGGGAATCAGAGACGCATCTCGCGTTCCGCAGCGCTTTGCTATTATTGGCACAGGCGGCATTTCCAAAAATGGAACAGGATGGGTTGGACTCCCTAGTTCTGGAGCGCTTGCTGGCATGTTGTTCTGCAGGCTACAGAGGATGTAAATTTATCTTCTCTTTATATCGCACCGATGCCTCCAAGCACATTTTATTCTTCAACGCCGAGCGGGGGTGGCGGCGTGCACCGGTTCTTTCTTTGCTCCGGATGCACCCGAAGATGTGGAAGATTCTCAAGTATGCACGTCGAGCAACGACGACCGATGGAGGAAGGTCGACGCGGGGCGACGAGGAGGGCGAGACCAGCGGAGAGGGACCTTCTCTCGCCCGAGGAGCAGCCCCGTCATCTGCTTCGACTGCGGCCTGCCGGAGCACATCGTGAAGGGATGCCGCGCTGTGCGAGGAGGACTCCCTGGACCACCATCGTCCTCCACCTGGTTGTCCTCTTCTCTACCGGGCCTCCAGGCAAGTCGTGACGCACCACACACTCGACGCTTGCTGCCACCTCATCTAATTCGAACATCGGTGCGGGTTCGCGCGGTGTCAGCTCAGATCGGATCAAAGAGCGTGGGCGTCCGGGATTGCCTTGGCACATCAGGTTATCGCCGCGGTGGCAGGCTCATCGGCGATTGTAGGAACAGTCCAAGGGATAGAAGTTGTGCTCATCGACACCGGAGCGTCCGCTACTATTATCTCATTAGTTTATTTTTAACATCTTGCCCAAACACTCTTACGTTCTTCAACCTGTCGCCGTTCTGTGTTTCGCCGCGAGCAGAGGATCTCTAGGGATCATCGGTCAAATTACCACGACAGTATGTATCGGTGACATCCAGTTGACCGGGCTGGTGCTAGTTTCGAAATCCTTGGCCATACCCTGCCTACTGGTTCTTAGGAAAATTGCCCCTGAAAATCCTTATAGATCAGGGCTGCATCAAGTTGGCATCGGGCCGCCGATTGGCTTTTCTTCCCCAACTCGACTGCACACAGCTAACGCCACAGTCCAGGCTGTGGCGAGTAAGACTGTAAAAATTCTGCCCGGGGCGCAGATGCTGGTGCCCCTGAAACTACGGAAGCAAGTCGATCGTGTAGCAACCGCCAGAGGGATCCTACTGGGACCCTCAAATCAAGCGAATCGGGGGTTGACACTAGTGGGGACCCAGACCTTGGTGTCCCGTGATCAGGAACCCTTTATTCAGGTCCTCAACACTGGGTTGGTCTCGTCCATTATACAGGCAGGGACTATGTTAGCCCCTGCAACTGCTGCGAGTTGCGGCGAAAATATTATTGGTGAGGTAGGGGTCACATCGGCTTCGGAGCAAGGTGCGCGGGGCAATGAGAGGTGGGTGGACACTCTCTGTTCCGAAAACCCCGATCTATCAGACACTCAGAGAACCAAATTGCCTCACTCTTGAGGGAATTTTCTGACGTTTTTAGTAAAGGGAAATACGACATTGACCGCACGACTCTCCTGCAGCACCACATCGATACAGGAGATGCCGCCCCCATCCATAAGAACCCTTACAGATTAAGTCCTAAAGAGAAGGACCATGTCTGTCAGGTGATCGACGAAATGTTGGCCGCTGACATTATTTCACCATCGAACAGTCTGTTTGCGATTTTGCGTATGGATGATTCCTTAGATTCTCTGTCCGGGGTGCGGTTTTTCTCTACCCTTGACTTGTTGTCAGGATTTTGGCAATTGCCGTTGGATGATAGTTCGAAACCTAAAACCGCGTTCCAAACACCGCAAGGCTTGTTTGAATTTAACCGGCTTCCGATGGGGCTCCTCTCTACGCCAGCCACATTCCAGAGGCTTATGGAGCTGGTATTGGCGGGGCTCCAGTGGGACTGCTGTTTGGTTTACCTAGATCAGTGGTTCTTAACCTTGTTGGAGGTACCGAACCCCACCAGTTTCATATGCGCATTCACCGAACCCCTCTTTAGTGAAAAATAAAATGTGATTTTTTTCAAATTCAAGACATAGATATGTTTTTTACTGGTACACAAAATGAGCCGTGCATGAACATTACCTTGTTCAAAGAATAAAACCAACACAATGCATAAACTCACAACAAATTACATACCTGGAAATCAATGTGACTTCTGCTGTTGCCTTTGAGAGATCAGTTCAGATATGCGTGGCGTCACCTTGGCAAGTGCCACTCTCATGTCATTTTCACAGCAAAGTCTGTTCCTTTTCTTCGTTTTTATGTCCAGCATCCTCGAAAAGGATTGCTCACAAAGATATGTTGTAACAAATGGTATAAAAAAATCCAGGGCTTTCTTAGCAATAACTGGATACTTGTTCATTTGTCGACACCAAAACGTTGAGAGCGTTGTTGTTCTGAAGAGTTGCTGTTGAACCTGGCTCTGCTGAATTTCAATGATTTCGTCGAGGAATTCATCATTGACATCTGCTGTTTCAACAGCAAACGTGAACGGCTGTCTCACCCATGCTGGATATGACTCTCTTGTAGGGAAATATCCGTCGAGAGACTTTGCAAGCTCATCTAAGTGCGTGGCAATTGTTTGCTTCAGTTCCGTGGATACAGAAATATCTCCGATTCCAGACACATCTTCGATCTTACTTGCACAGTCGTCCAGAAGCGGGAAGTTTGCGAAGTTATTGTTCTCTGTTCGTCGTTTCCATAACGGTAGCTTTTTTTGAAAAGCCTTCAGGTGTTCTTCCGCTTCCATGATATTGACTCCACCACCCTGCATCTGCTGATTGAGATGATTGAGAGCTGCGAATATATCAGCCATGTACGCTAAAATGAGAATGAACTCAGGATTTTTGAAGCAATCTGCATGGCAGTGTTGGTGCTCTTGCAAAAACAGGGCTAATTCTACACGCATGGCAAAAACACGATTCAGCACCTGTCCCCGGGATAACCACCGAATATTAGAATGGAGCAGAAGTACCTCAAATTCAGAGCCCATTTCTTTACACAGCTCACTGAAGATGCGGTGCCTCAGAGCACTTTTTCGCACATAGTTCACACATTCCACCACAGTTTTTAATACTTCTGCCATTTTTGGAGGTAAGGTTTTTGTTGCCAACGCATGCCTGTGCAGAATACAATGCGTCACAATGATGTGTGGTGCATCGGCCTTTACTAGCGCACCAAAACCAGACTTTCTTCCCAGCATGACTGGAGCTCCGTCCGTACAAACTGCAGAAACCATATCCCATGAAAGATTGTTGTCTCTGAAGAAGTCATCCACAAGCTTCTTCACATCGGCTGCCTTCGTTGTTGTTGTAAGAGGCTTACAAAATAAAAACTCTTCTTTTATCATGTCGTCTTTCACATAGCGTACAAAAACAGCAAGCTGGCTTAGATCAGAAACGTCTGTGGTTTCGTCGAGTTGAAGGCTGAATTTTGCCGGGCTTGAAATCAGATCCGCGACTACTTGAGCCAAGATGTCTTTACTCATGTCTTCTATTCTGTCACTGACGGTGTCATTTGAAAGGGGAATTTGGGATAATTTACCTTCGGCCGCTGTTCCGAGTATCAGATTCGCCATCTTTAATGCAGCTGGTTTCACAAGTGTTTCACCAATGGTGTGTGGCTTGCCCTGCTTTGCGATCAGGTAAGCAACTTCGTACGATGCTGTCAGGATCGGTTTGTTAACAGGTACAAATCCAAGAGCAGGCAGAGTGGCCCTTTCATCGAATCTGGCTCTCTTCACCCTGAATTCAGCAAGTGTTGTGTTCTTGTATTCCCCGTCTCCATGCAGCTTCAAGAAGTGTTCCTTTAGTTTTGCCGGTGCAAGACTAGAGTTGCTCAACTTGGCGTTGCAAATCATGCAGATAGGACGCTCACTCCCATCACGTTCCGTGATACATGAGAATCCATGTTGTACATATTCGTCCGACCACTTTCTTCTTTTGCCCGACATAGTTAGTATGGATAAAATATTAAAGAAATCACACGACGTACGACAACAACAGTCACACGTTGACTACTGAGTACGCACTAAATTCCCCGCAGCGCTGATTGGCCAAGCAGTGTAGCATGATCATCTGCAGCCAGTGATGGCCAAGCGGGCCGTGTGTGTCATCACAAATTTACACAATAATTCAAGTGTGTCCGGACCTCCGTGGCGGGGGCTCTGCCAAACCCCTGAGATCGACTCACCGAACCCCTGGGGTTCGATCGAACCCAGGTTAAGAACCACTGACCTAGATGTTATCGTTTTTGGCCGTACGTTCAAAGTGAACGGTTGCATGCAGTTTTCCTAAAGATGTGGAACACAAACTTAAAATTTAAGCCGCAGAAATGCCACCTGCTCCAACAATCGGTGCGATACTTGGGACACATCGTCAGTGTGTCTGTGCGCACTTGGCCCACACCCAAGTCGGTGGGGGACATGCGTAGCTTTATTGGATTCGCCTCTTACTATCGCCGTTTCTTGCCTGGGTTCACCACTACCGCGAAACCTCTTCACGCTTAGGGACGGTCTTGTAAATGGACCTCCCCTTCGATATTCCGATTTTTCCTTACCTTTCATTCTGGACACGGACGCCAGCAACACCGGTATTGGCGCCGTGTTTTCCCAGGTTGTGGAGGGTGTAGAGAGCGTCATGGCCTATGGAAGCAGAGTGTTAGTAGTAATAGGTTTTACCCTTTTAACTGGCACAAAAACTGACACCTTTATTCAAGGCATCATGTTTGCAATAACCACAACACAAGCAGTCAAAATGCAAACAAAAAAGACAACTCTGATAATAATATGCACTGTCGTTGAATTTGATTGGTCCACACCCGAGACGGCTTTTCTTAGAGCCTAGTCTCCACTGGTGTTGGACCAGAAGACGCCAAAAGGCGTACAACTCAAAAACAGCGCACTATCAGAGTATTGAGGGCTCGGGGTGAGCATTTACATTATGAGACCTCCTTTGCCAGTAACAAGATATAGTAATAACCTATTACTATAGTAATAACCTATTACTATATCTTGTTACTGGCAAAGGAGGTCTCATAAAGCAGAGTGTTGTCGCCGGCCGAACAGCGTTACTGTGTGACACGCCGGGAGTTGTTGGCTATTGTGGTTTTAATCCAACAATCCCGCCCGTACCTCTATGGTCGGAGCTTTGAGGTACGCACAGACCATGCAGCCCTCCAATATGCGCTGCATGTCGACCAGCCGTCTGGCTAGCTCTCTCGATGGCTGGAAGGCCTTCAAGATTACTCGTTTAAAGTGTCATATCGAAAGGGTCTTCATCATGTAAATGCCGATGTTTTGTCACGCTTGCCGCCGGGTAACGGGTGTGCATGTCTCATGGGCGCGGGGCGCTGTAAGCCGGCGGATGCGGGATTACCTTCCCCTGTTGTGGCGTTGGTGGACGCTCCACCCCCTGATGGTTCCGCCGTGTCGGACGCGGGTGATACCACCCTGGGGTTGAGCCGTGCAGAAAGGGGACGCCTCCTTGTTGAGGATATGGCGATGGGTCACAAACGCTG